AGGTCCGCATTGAAGAAGAGGAACAAGATCGGTGATAAGGGAGAACCTTGAGGTAGACCAGCCTGGGGTAGGCTTCAAACCTCAGAAGAATGCCCGTTGACTTGGATAGCTGCTGTACGCTGTGAACAAAAAGCGTTGATCCATCGAAGCAGCTCCCCTGGGATGCCTCGTGCTTTCATCGGCTGAAGAAGCCTTTCCTTGCAGACCCCGTTGTAGGCCCCTTTCACATCGAAAGTGATTAAGCTTGCTACCTTTCGACCTCGCCAGGCGTAGGAGCGCTGGTTCAGCCGACCGTTGTTCGCGTGCTCCGAAGTGGTTTGTCGGGAGGAGCCCATACGTCTCGACCGCGTGTGAGATCCTTTCCGCCACGACCGACTCCAGCAGCTTGCCGAGTGTTGCTAAAAGTGCGATCGGTCTCCAGGCTTTCGCAACGGTGTAGTCGTCCTTTCTGGGCTTCTTGAGTGGTATAATCCTGGCGTGCCGCCATTGAGTGGGCAGTGTACCGTCCTCCAGGGACGCTCGGAATAACGCGAGAACACGGTAGTTGACCACTGGCCAAGTCTCCTTCCAGACTATTGCGGGTAGGCCGTCCTCCCCGGGCGCCTTCCAAGATTTGGCCGCGAATAGTTGTCGTTCAACTTCTTCCATGGTGATCGGCGGCATTACTAGGGGAGCCCTTTGCGGCCTGGGACCTTCATCTTCAATGCTCTCCGGGAGAGGAGGAAAGAAGGTAGCCAGGAGTTCTTCTCCCTGTTCTCTGTGATTGGCTGTGACTGTTCCGTCTGCTTTGACGAGCTGTGGCACCTTTCCGAACGCCGTGTCGTCGCCGGATTTCAGGTACTTGGCAGCCTTCCAGATATTGCCACTGTCTGCGAGAAACTCGTCCCAGTGCTTCTTCTTCTGTTGCCGAATAGCGTCGTGGTACTGCTTTGCTGCCCCTTTTGCCGTTTCCTCCAAGTCCACAAAGGCTCGCCCAGCTCGTCGTTCGGTCCGGGCGCGGTTCCTCCAGTATGTGTAAATACGACGCAATTGTGTGAGGTCGATTGTCCACCACCTCTTGGCGTATGGCGATGGCCTTGCTTTCGGTGTCAAGGTTTGGACCGCCTCTAGGACGGCCGACATCAGTCGATCCGTCTGCTGCTGTACGGTCCCCACAGACGGGGTGGCATCCAGTGCCCTGCATCCTGGTGGTTATTTTCTTCCAAGGTGCATTCTTGAGGAGAAGTCGGTCCCGTTGATTCGGTACCGGGGCCAACGTGTCAAAGACCGTCTCAATCACGCGGTGATCCGATCCATGCTCTGTCCTGTGGATCGCACACTTGACTGTTGTGTCCGCTAGCTCGGTAGGAGCCAGGACCAGATCGATGGTCGTGTCGTAATCCCCGCCGTGCCATGTCTTCGTGCCTCGCCGAAGCAGACTGCGAAGGGCGAACTCGTTCATTAGGTCGATTATCCGATCCGCCTCCCCCTGCCTTTCCAAAGAAACATCATCTCCTCCCCACAGCTGGTCGTGCCGGTTGAAATCTCCGGCAATCACCACGTCCACTGTCGTACCCGCGTGTCGTCTTGTATCCGTGATTATCTTGCGTAAATCGTTGCAAACGCTCCCTAGCGCCTGAGGATCCTGCTTTGGTACATAGACGGACACCACCAAGACTCGCCGATCAGGGAGCCTTAGGATGGCTGCTGTCATGTCCGGGGATGCTATAGGTACCTGTTCCGCCTCCACGTCCCTGTTCACCCAAAGCATGCTTCGTATTGCCCATCTGCCTTCTCTCCAAGTTGAGGGAACCATCTTGATCCATTTGTGGTGTCCCATAGGGGTAGTCAAGAGTCGGCCCTGAATCCTTCGTGCTTGAGGCTCCTGGATGGCCAACACTGTAACGTCCTGAATGTCCTTGTCGTTCATCAAGCTGTCGTGTACCGCACCCTGCTTTTGCACATTAAGTTGAATCAGGCGGAGCCTTCTACTCATGGCGAGATGGGTAGAGCCTCTGGCAGTTCCTGCTGAACGATTCATGCGGGCCGCTGCACAGGACGCACTTGGTAACCACTTCACTGCAGCCGCTGTGGTGGTGGCCCTCCTTGGCACACCTGGCGCACACCTGAGGGCTTCTGCAATGGAAGGCTTTGTGGCCGATCTGCTGGCAGTTGTAGCATTGCTCTGGTCGCATCCGGCGTTCGAAGATTCCCGTGTATCCTGATTCTCCACCGGCATAGAAGAAGCCCTCGTCGAGGAGCGTCCTAGCGTCGCTAGCTTTGGTGACATAGACCACCATGGATCCATACGCTTTTGCAGTGTTCTTTCGGCTCAGCCAGGCCATCTTGGCGATGCACCTCGTTTTCCTGGCTCAAGGCTTCTGTAGCTCCAGGAAGGATCCTGCCTTCGTGGTCGATGACAGCCGTGCGATTGACGTCGTCAACTTTGACTGGGTACAGCTGGTCTCGAAGGACTCTTGCGCCCGGCGTCTTCTTCGCTTCCATAATGTCCTTGATCTTCTTGACTTCCTCTTCGTTCCTGCCGAGGATCCTAGTGCGGTTGATGTTTCCTCTGTGACCTGTCTCTAGTGACGGCAACGCAACGCCACTTGGGTTGGTCGCCAGGCGCTCGCATTTCGTTCTCGATGAGCTTGCGAAGGGCCACCGGTGTAGCCTCTCCGATGTGTTCCTCTGGCACCCTGGTCATGTCCACCGTGCAGAATGCTGGTTCTGGCGTCGCCGCTCGGCCTGTGGAGGAGGCCGGGGTCGGGATGCTGGCAGGAGGAGTACGTCGGGCGACGTCAGAATATGCAGGCCAAACCAAAGGGGCTTCTTGAGCCTCCTTCATGGCTTGAAGCTGCAGTCTAGTGTCCTCGAGCTCACGGCAGGCTCGGGTAAGCTGGTCTCGCGCTTGCGACAGTTCTTCGGTCAACTGGGCCGTCATCTTGGCGACCTCCTCTGCTATGATTTTTTTGAATTGCATCTGAACTTCTGCCTTGATGATGTCCAAATTGTTGTTGAAGTCACGATCCGCGGGTTGCTCTGCGCCTCGGATTCCCTCGCCCGCTCTCTCGGCCGCTGTGACCCGAACTGTGCGATTTTTGTGGTTTCTCGACACTCTTTCAATACTATTTCTTCCTCCCAGTCCATATCGTTTTCTTGTTGCATTGACTCCATCGCTCTTTTCGTTCTCACCCTCTTGCGCTGCGGGCGGCGACATCCCACTCCTGGGGATCCCGAATCGCCTCTCATGACGTCGATGATGTCTGAAGCGCCGCGCGCTGCACCAGACATCTGGAAAAGACAAAATATTCCACCAGGTGCCTCAAAAGAAGAAAGGAAGATCGATTTTGCAAAGATCCAGGTATACAGATGCGGTGGTGGCCGGTGACCTCTGACATTCACACAGTGGGGGTTCAAAGGTTTACCGGATACAGTGTGCTAGATGCTATAGCGCCTAGGGCAGCAGGTGTGCTTCAAATGAACCAACGAGAGCCAACAATAGCGGTCCACTTGCAGGAGCTAGTGGGGAACGAAGGACGTTCCGAGCCAATCACTTAGGACCAATCGGAAGGAGCCCTGGAGGTGCTCTAGAGAGCTCTTGAGAGCATGAGAGAGCACCAGTGGAAGGCTAATCAGAGAACGCTCTAAGAGGCTCTCGAGCGCGCCGTAGAGCATTTGCTCTAGGTGGCTCTAGTGTAACGGGCTGAGCCCGTAAAGGCCTCGGCAAACTCTCGGCCAAGACTCGAGATTCGGTGGACTTCTACATCCGTATCTTGTTCGATATCGGCGCACAGGCCATGGATGTGGAGGTATAAGACGGCAGATATCCTGCATAGTTTTTCACTCTTTTTCTTCTTCTCTCTCCATTCGAGACAAACTTGTAGAGTCGTCACCAGCTAGTTGCAATACACTCCTGGGACCGTTACATCTAGAGAGCATGAGAGAGCAACCAAATGTATCCAGTATACAGTCACTCGTTCTGGGGGAGTCTGGGAGTTCTCCAGTAAGCAACTCAAGTGCAAGATTGTCGGTACCTTTGGACATTGCTTGTTGTGAACCTTTTGGCTTCACCGAAACTCACCCCGTTGTCAAGTTAAATTTTCCAGGAGTCCCTTTCAGAAGTTTGGACTTTGAGATTCGTCACAGTGAATTTGTGGTATAACGGTCTCAGGTAGTATATTGCAACTAGCTGATGACGGCTCTACGAGTACACTAAACTTGGAGAAGAAAAGGAGAGACAACATGTAACGGTCCCAGGAGTATATTGCAACTAGCTGGTGACGACTCTACGAGTTTGTCTCGAATGGAGAGAGAAGAAGAAAAAGAGTGAAAACCTATGCAGGATATCTGCCGTCTTATACCTCCACATCCTTGGCCGGTGCGCGGATATCGAACAAGATAGAAGTCCACCGAATCTCGAGTCTAGGCCGAGGGTTTGCCGAGGCCTTTACGGGCTCAGCCCGTTACATCTTATGCTGAAAGACTTCTCTAACGCTAGTGAACTTCGACGCAGAATGTAACGGTCCCAGGAGTATATTGCAACTAGCTGGTGACGACTCTACGAGTTTGCCTCGAATGGAGAAAGAAGAAGAAAAGAGAGAACTAGATGACAGGAAGAGAGGGCAGCTCTTATATGCTCCGGAACACACAGACACTTCCTGCTTCAGGATGACGTTATCATGATACCACGGCCGAGGGTTGCCGAGGCCATCATGGGCTCAGCCCATCACACAGCAAACGCGCCGTCGTGGACTGCTAGGCTAATGATGACGCTTATAAAACAGAAGATTAACCTCCTAGTGGATATAAAGAAGAAGATAGTCCTAGAGGGAATATTGTTAGCTCCAAGACGATAGAGATAAGTGGGCGATCACTTTCGGCTTCGGCTTATTGTCCGCCCCTTTATGGTGCGCAAGCCGGATGGCCATAGCTAGGACGTCCTTGCCGGTTTCCGGGTGGCGTACGACCATCAGCTGAATGTAGAATGTCCTTATAACAGAGCACCTTTGGGCGTCCACGGCTCTTATACTCTTGCGACATCATCTCTTCCAGCAGCCTGGAATGCTCATCGGGCGCCTTGTCTTCGTCGCTAGGGACACTCCCAATAGCGTGCCGGGGGAAGAGCTCCTCAAGATACCCATCCTTGCCGCTCTTTCTCTCGCCGTCCACAAACTCGGCCGGCCTGGCCCCAGTGAAAGCACGGCCGAGGTAGCACCCCAACAACTAGATACGGTGCCTCTCCCGAGAGAAGATGCCGGTGTCGTGCTTGATATTGAACGTCTGCAGGACCAGCAAGGTATCTGCGTTTGCGACGTCCTTTCCACGGGTGCATGGTGCTTGCAAGCCGTACCTTGGGACCAAAATGGCATCGTGCCACTTATAAGACGTGTTAGCTATTGCGTTAGTGTATAAGGGCCTGGGGATATACCTTTTTGACTTCTTTACTGTCGTTCCTGTCCATATAGCGGCCCGTGGCACTGGCATACAGCTGCTTGTACTGACGGTGTCACGGCACTGGACCGCCGATCCCTAGGTCACGTGGCACATTGCACTTAGCTTCAGGTTCATCCATCCATAGCTTCCTTTCCTCTTCATAGAGCAACGCAGTTATCTTCCCAGACCTACTATGGTTCCGTGACAGACGGAAGTACTCCCAGGACGAAGCCCACGACCTGATCCTGTATGTTTGACAAAGATATTTGAGGAATCCATCGCCATCGCTCGGTTTGCTTTCTGCATCACCTCTCGCCAGGTTCCCGATAGCTTAGCGAACTCGCAGTATCTCGAGATTCATCAGCAAAGGAATGGCAGAACAGGAAGGAAGGTGACGGTTTACCTCTTCCATTTCCACAGCAAACCGGCGATGTTGATCTTGGTCTTGTCGGCATAGTCGGGCGTAAGGAACTTGGTGTCCTTAAGCTGCTTGCGGAGAGCTGCGCGCTGCTCGGCCGTATAAACTGCTGGCCGTTTCGCAATTTGCTTCTCAGCTTCTCGTTGGGTGTAGCGCCGGACGAAATGTGCAATTATATTGCCAGTCTTCCGTGAGCGGCTACGGCGGGCGACGTGCTGGCATAGCGATGGCGTTGAGTGCAGAAGGCAACGCCGCCGACTCTAACGGCAACGGCCGACGAGGCGGAAATGACGGGAAGCGCGAGCGGCGCCATCTTATGTATATATGGCTGCGCTGGGAAGCCAAAAATGGATCTAGTTAAGGCGGTTTCTTGGATTTCGAAAACGACTTCTTTCTCGAAACCAACTGCGGAGTACTAGGACGCTTATTGGAGGATGGTGTAGGTAGGGTAGTGAGGTACCGAGTACCTGGCTATGACCAAGCGCCCCGCACTGTCGAGACACCCGAAAATGGCGGCCTGCCCTGCCAAATTCGGCGGCTAGAACAGCAAGTTGTTGGAAAGCCAACAGCCACGAATGTGTCGCACCGTAGTGGTTGGGTATCGAAATGATGGGCAACCACTCAATTGATGATGATGTTCCTGTCTGTGTTTTTCCAGAAGTTCCCTGCCTGTTCCTGATCCTGAGAATCCTGGTGCCAAGCCATTGGTCACCCCTGAACTGCCCTCTCTGACCACCTGCCAAATCCAACACAAGTTCTATAATTCCGTACATATGTACGGATCCGTACAGTACGGATATTTAATCTGTCTCAGACTCTGAACCTTGTCGCTGTAGTGGGCGTGCAGGCCCCACACTGCCCCACAAAGTTCAGCGCCAATGTCGCAGCACCTCGCCGCCAAAAATTCGTTCGCATCCCAACAACCCGACGGGATGAGACCAATCTGCCGATTCGCAACATGGCAGCCGACGAGATTCACAACACTGTGGCGGACAGCTTGTCTGCTGCACCTGCTGCTACCACCCCCTCAGACGATTCAGCCGATAAGAGGAATGGGCACCAAGGCAAGCGGGGCGGCAGAGACCGAGGCAACGACAAGCAGAAGAAGCGCAAGCACGCAGGCTTCGGGAGCGCGAAGTATGTTGTCGCATGCCATTGCTTGATGAATTTCTAATACCGACTCTAACCAGCTCGCAGAGGTGAGGTCCCCGACAAGCGCGAGCAAGTCCAGAACAACCGCAATGCGAAGCGTCGCAGGGTCATCGACGATGAGAACAACGGCAATAGCTACATGAGCATCGCGTTCACGCCCGAGGAGATCGCGGCTGAGGAGCGCCGTCCGAAGCGGAAGGTTGCCGTGCTGATTGGTTACGCGGGCACGGGCTACCACGGTATACAGATCAACCACAAGGAGAAGACGATCGAGGGCGACATCTTTGCCGCCTTTGTCGCAGCTGGTGCCATCTCGAAGGCGAACGCCGATGACCCCAAGAAGTCCAGCTTGGTGCGCTGCGCGAGGACAGACAAGGGCGTCCATGCCGCCGGCAACGTCCTGTCGCTCAAGCTGATTGTCGAGGATGAGGACATCGTCGACAAGATCAACCAACACCTGCCCGAGCAGATCAGGATATGGGGAATACAACGCACCAGCAACGGTTTCAGCTGCTACCAGGCCTGCGACTCCCGGTGGTACGAGTACCTGATGCCCAGCTACTCCCTCCTCCCGCCGCAACCACACAGCTTTCTGGGCAAGAAGCTCGCCGAGTCTGCCAAGGACAAGGGCGTGCATGACCAATATATCGAGCGTCTCGACGATGTCAAGAACTTCTGGGACGGGGTTGAGAAGAACGACATTCAGCCTATTCTTGAAAGATTAGAGCCCGATGTCAGAGCCGAAGTCCTCCGAAAGCTCCACGATACGCAAGATCAGGATCTTACCGACGAGGGGAACCCAACACAGCCCGACTCAGACGTGGTGGCTAAGGACTCTGAGATGAAGGATATTGGAGAACCGCCTGATGCACCGTCTGACAAGCCAGAAGAGCCGAATCCCGCAGCAGATGCGGCCAAAAAGGAGCTGACCCCGGTCGACCTCGCCCTCCGCGAGGTCAAAGCAGCCTATGTGGCAGCCAAGCGACGGTACCGCGTCACCCCGGCGCGCATCGAGAAGCTTCAGCAAGCCCTCAACCTGTACCTGGGCACGCACAACTACCACAACTACACCATCATGAAATCCTACCGCGACCCGTCGGCCAAGCGGCACATCAAATCCTTCCAGGTCAGCCCGAACCCGATCACAATCCGCGACACGGAGTGGCTGTCGCTCAAGGTGCACGGGCAGTCCTTCATGATGCACCAGATCCGCAAGATGGTGGCCATGGCCGTCATGGTGGTGCGCTGCGGCGCGCCGCTCGAGATTATCACCGACAGCTACGGCCCGCGGCGCATCAGCATTCCCAAGGCGCCCGGACTGGGCCTGATGCTGGAGCGGCCCATGTTCACCGAGTACAACAAGAAGGCGGCCGGGCTCGGGAAAGAGGCCATCGACTTCGCCAAGTGGGAGGCGCAGATTGCCGAGTTCAAGGATAAGCAGATCTATCGGAGGATGTTTGAGCTGGAGGAGAAGGAGAATTCGTAAGTTTTTGTGCTTGGCAAATAGGAAGTTCTTCTTTCAAAGTCGGCTGCTGACAGCTGCGGCAGATTCCACCTCTTCTTCAACCAGGTTGACAACTTCAGGACTGACTACTTCCTCTGGGTGACTGCCGGCGGCGTGGAGGCGTCGCATGAGCGGTCTGACAGGACAGAGAAGGTGCCCAAGGCGCTCGAGGCCGAGCTGGGCGACGAGCCGGATGGTGTGGAGGAAGTTGGCACATCGCGCGAAGAGTCCTAAAAGGCTATGGAAATTTTATCAAGACTGTTCAGTCTTGATCTGCGGTTCGCCCTTGACCTGTGTCTGTTCCTCAGACGGCGCTTGTCCGATACACCCGGGCTTCGAGCCAGATGCCTCTGCTATCGCTGGCTGAATGTGAGCCTCCGTCAGATCCGCCCTCTCATACGTGAATCCTCCCCCGGCTTCCACAGCCTGCTGCAACATTCTCTGGCGCTGGCTGTCGCGGATGGCGTTGAGCATGGCAAATACGTGCTCTGCATCCTGCTGCATTGCCTGCTCGGCCTCAGCGTCCTGGGCGCCGGGTGCCTTGAGCGGGCCGACGACCCAGAGCTCTCGGATCTTGCGGGTGAGGGAGAGAAGGTCCTCTGTTGACTTTACCTAGCCAGCGGAAATTGGTTAGTGGCAGAACGTGAGGCACTTGATAAGGGACTTGAAACCGTACGATACCGCTTATTATCGTCTGCAAGGCCATGCTGCGGTAGGCTGCTTGGCCTGTTGAGGCTGTGTTATCCACTGGGGCGGCCGCAGTGTTTATCAAGTCACGGAACGCGGCCATGATCCCGGCGACGAGTATGTTCTTCCTCTCTGCTGAAGTTAGTGCCGGCGTCGAAGGAGTTCAGAGTCGAAGGTGGAGCGAAAATGAGGTGTGACATGCACCGTGAAAAGAATGATGAAGGTCGTTGGCTGCTGGAAGTCGCCAAGGAAAAGGCAACTGACCTTGGAGATTGTCGACCGAATCCGGAGTTCGATCCATGGTCGAATTGTTGACGGCGTAATATGGATCAGAAATGCGACTCGCTGTCAATGTGTTGTTTAAACAGGTCTTGAGGAATCGCCGATTTGCAGTTCTTGAATGAGATTTTGAGGTTTGACATTCCGGCCTCATGCACAGCTGGAGGGCGATTACCACAGTACCGATGCTTAGTGCGGTCTCCGATAGGGGCATTGACATTTGACTAACGTCATTTCCGGTACGGTATGGCCCGTGCGGATAGTCTAGGGTTGCGAATGGAATTTTGCTGTTACGGATTTTCAACCAAATTTTGGAAAAATTTCATTCAAGGTACCTTTGAGAGTACTTGGTGAAACGGAAATATAGGTTCTGCTAGGGTTGGTACTCATTTAGGGGGCATGGCTGTCGGCGACCGACAGCTAAGGGTTAGCCGAATGGACCCCACAAAGAACCCCAACCCTGACCTTTTGCTTTCTGGACGTAGCTGAAATATTTGAAATAGACATTTCAAGGGCCCGGTTCTCATTTTCCATCGTCAGCGATTTTTCCGAAATTCGCAACCCTAGTGCAGACCTCGCCGGACAATCTTTGTAACGGGACTTTGAGCCCTCAATCACCGAAACTGAGGACTCGGGCCCTATTTCTTTTCTTCTCCCGAGGTTATCACTCAATCCGCGACTCCGTAATTTCGTCTCAAGTTGCGTAACTCGAGGAGACCATGTTGGTTTGAATCCGCTTCCCGCAGGACCGTTTATTTCACATCGCCCGGAGAGAAAGGAAAGGCTTGTTAGCACCTGCTCACTTCCTGGTCTCTTACTAAAAACGCCTCGATCCACGAAAATCACAAGAGGCCAAGAGAGCGGCAGCGAGCGCCAGAGACAACGATTGGTGAACGCACCGAGCTCGTTCCACTATACGGATTATACGTTTATTAACGCAGACCTCAGCAGAGCGAACGCAGAACTTATAACGTTAACTAGTTAACTAACGTTATAGTATCGATTTAGGTACTTTTTCTTTCTTTCGTTCCTCTTCTTCTCTATCTTTCTTTCTTTTTGTCTATTTTTATTTTTTTTCTTAGTTTCTTACGTTGCTTGCTTTCTTTTGTCCCCATTAACTGTTTGTCTAGTACCACGCTGTGTGCCACGCTAATGAACAAACCAGGGTCGAATTATAGAGATGCTGGGTGCAATGCTATCACGAGACAGAATCTACCGATGGCCCTCAGCGGTTGCGTCCCCGCACTTCCAAGTTTTTCAGTCCTCATTGCCCGCTGGCAAGCCGAGAAGCGAACAAAGGGTTCGGACCTCCTAGTGACTTCGCCTCTCGACTCAGTATTGGGGTCTTATTACAATCTGCCCGACACGGAATGGCGTGCAGTGCAGGATGCTGCAAGGCCAAGCAGGACCCGGCATCGGTTGCCACACCCAGCGCACATACGGATCATGACGAGAGTCAAATCAAAAGCGACAGTCCGGATAATGGCCATGTAAACCGCGATGCTTCGTCTCTCCAGCCCGGCCAATGACTCGCCGGTGAGTGACAGCGCAGACGGATGCTGTGTTGCTCCTCGGAAGAACGACGAGAAATCAAATCTGCCGCCATGCTGCGAGGGCAAGCCAGCTTCGTGCTGCGACTTGACTTGTGTCGACCGTCTGGCATTGCGGGCATGCGAGGACAAGAAATACTGCTCAATAGAACATAGAGACGCCTCCAGTGGTAGGTATTGATTCCCTTCACACGTCGCTTATGTCTCTGGGCTAATATTTTTTTTCAAATCCCTCCTGCATTGAAGCTGACCAAGAGGAGCCATGCGGCTACCATTCGCGCAAGACTCGCGACGCTTACGGAGCCACTCTGGAAGCTCTCGGCTGCATCTGCCGCGCACTGCTCGCCCTTGGAGAGGATTCCTGCTGTCTCCCCAAGGGGCGATCCTATGTTGAGCGCCGCCACAGTCTGAAGCGCCCATCGCGCCGTCTGCGACCTGCGGTAGCTCCCCCAGCATCATGCTATTCCTCTCCATCCCAAGCCAATGGCCAATGCCACCCCCGCTCCAGCCGCTCCAGCCGCTCCAACTCCATTGCAGACTCAGACGCATCCGATGACTGCTGCTCTGCCGGTTCATGCGGGAGACGACAACCGGCCGCGACGCGCGACCCTTGCTCAAAAGGGTGCTGTGGCGGCAAGGCCCCATCGGTCGGGGACAAGCCAGCCCCTGTGAAACATACAGACGAGACATGTTGCAAACCCAGCGGCAGTATTTCCAAGGATCACGCTATCGCTTCTGCTGATGTCGAGAAGGGGCTTTGCGGACGGGAGCACGTCATCCTCAGTGTCTCCGGCGTGACATGCACCGGCTGCGAGACCAAGCTGCAACGCGTGCTCAGCACTCTGCCGTCTGTCAAGAACCTCAAGACTAGCCTGGTGCTTACGCGGGCAGAGTTTGATCTCGACTTCGGCAGCGGTTCCCTAACTGAGGTGCTCAAGCACTTGGAGAGGACGACCGAGTTCAAGTGCGAGAGTGTGGGCCAGCATCCGTCCACTGTCGACATCCTGGTGGATGACACAGCCGACCTTCTGATGAAACAATAGCCGAAGGGCGTCACAGATGTCGTGGCTGTAGACAAGCAGACTGTGCGCGTCGCCCACGACCCCGAACTTGCCGGGGCGAGGGACCTGCTTGAAGGCGGCTGGGGCGATCCGCTAGAACTTGCACCTCTCGGCCCCGATCCCACAATCGCAGCGGGCAACAAGCACGTGCGACACATGGGTTACATGACGGTGCTTTCCATCGCCCTGACCATACCGGTCCTGGTTCTGGCCTGGGCGCCACTGCCTGAGCATGAGATGGCCTACAGCTTCGCGTCTCTTGCCCTAGTCACCGTCATCCAGGTCGTGGTTGCGGGGCCGTTCTACCCTAAGGCGCTCAAGGCTCTAGTGTTCTCGCGCGTCATTGAGATGGACCTCATCATCGTCCTCAGCACCAGCGCCGCCTATGTATTCTGTGTCGTGTCCTTTGACTACTTTGTCTCTGAGCAGCCTTTGTCGACAGGGAGCTTCTTTGAAGCCAGCACACTTCTTGTTACGCTGGTCATGGTTGGCCACTGTATCATGCCCTGGCGCGACAAAAAGCCGTCGAATCCATATCTATCCATTCCTTGCAGCCGGCCACTGCAATTCTCATCGACAAAACTAGTGGCAGTGACCGAGAGATCGACGACCTCGCCTGCTTCAGTATGGTGACGTATTCCGTGTCGTGCCAAAGTCGAGGCTCCCAACCGATGGTACGGTGATGGCTGGATCCTCCGAGGTCGATGAATCCATAGTTACTGGGCAATCAAGGCCCGTCGAGAAGCACGTTGGGTCTGCTTTCATCGCAGGGGCCGTCAACGGATCAGGAACTCTTACAGCTCGGGTCATCCGCCTCCCAGGCGCCAACACCATTGATATGATTGCAGGCATTGTCGACCAGGCGAGGCTATCCAAGCCAAAGTTGCAGCACATCGCCGACCGCGTGGCGAGCTATTACGTCCCGGTCGCCGTTGAATTGATGGTCGTCACGCTTGTCGCTTGGATCGCTGTTGGTGTTGCCGGCCCCCACCAATCAGGAGCTGAAGCGACTATCCAAGCCATTACTTATGCCATCGCGGTGCTCATTGTCTCCTGCCCTTGTGCCATCGGCCTCGCAGTGCCTATGGTCGTTGTCATCGCCACGGGCGTCGCCGCCGAACACAGCGTCATCTTCAAGTCCGCTGAGAGCATGGAGGTTGCGTATCGGGCAAGCCATGTTGTCCTTGACAAAACCGGCACCTTGACTGAAGGGAGGATGTCTGTTGTAGCCGAGCAGTATGTAAATGGAGACAGCGTAAGTGATTCGGCTAAGATGCTCCTGAAATTGATTGACAACATCAAGCATCCGGTGTCTGTTGCGGTTCGCGCGCATCTCAAGTCGAACTGGAAGGATGTCTCAGTGGCCGAAGTCATCGGGGTCAAAGCATTGCTCGGTAAAGGAGTCGAGGGGACCACCGCTTCAGGCCTCGTTCTGCGCGCAGGCAACTCCCGCTGGCTCGGCCTCTCTTCCGACCTAAAACTTAAACCACTCCTTTCGCAGGGCCACACAGTCTTTTGCTAGACCATCAACGACACTCTCGCCGCCATCTTCGGCCTGCAGGACTCCCTTCGCCAGGACGCCCTCACCACCATCCAAGCCCTCCACGGCCGCAACATTGTAGTCCACGTCCTCTCGGGCGACGACGACGGCGCCGTCCGCCGTGTACCGGACCACCTCAATATCCTGCCGTCACGAGTCCGCTCCCGCTGCACACCAGCCAACAAACAGTCCTACATCCAAGACTTGCTCTCCACTAGCCCCAGCGCCCGCGAAGTCAAACGCCCTGGGTAATCTTCTGTGGCAACGGGGCCAACGACGCCCCGGCCCTCGCCGCCGCGACCGTTTGCATCGCCATGAGCCCGCCATCCGACTCTCCAAGCTCAGCCCCGTCCGCAGTAGGCGAGGTATCCAAATCAGCCGCCGATATTGTTCTCATGCGGTCCGACTTGGCCAGAATTCCGACAGTTATGGAGTTGAGTAGAAAGACGGTACGGCGCATCATGTTCAATTTTGCGTGGAGTTTTCTGTACAACTTGCTGGCGGTCTTGCTTGCTTCTGGGGCGCTTGTGAATGTCAGGATACCGCCGCAGTTCGCGGGGCTCGGGAAGCTGGTTGAGTGTGCTGCCGGTTGTGGTGGCGGGTGTTTCGTTGAGGTGGGAGCGCGTCAGATCCTGAAGGGGCGGTGTGGTGGTTCAGGTGGGTGGGAATGGAGTTTGTTAGCGTGGAACTTACGTGGTAGATCATTAGAGAGTATAGTTACCTCATCTTCTTTCACTTTAACTTTTTATTTCTTCCTCTTTAACTTTATCTTCCTCTTCCTCTCTATCTTTACCCTCTCTTTTCGTAACGTTATCTTCCTTTAATTCAATCTTATTATAACGTTAGTTTTCCTTTCTTTTCTCTTCCTCTTTATCTCCTCTTCTCCTTCCTTTCTATCTTTAACCTTCTCTTTTTCCTCTTCTTACCTTTTTGTCTGTTTATATTCTTGTGTTTTTCTCCCCTCCTTGCTTTCTTGTATTCTTTACTTTCTTTGTCCCATTTTACTGTATGTCTAGTATCCACTATATATATTACGCTAACGAACAAACCAGGGCTTAGACAAGTCGGGGTTGGGGGTTGGGTATGGTGGTGTGGGTGGCGGCTACGGTCCGGGATGTCGGGGGAGGAGAGGGGGGGGGGTACAATCCGAAAAAGATCGCCTCTTGTGTATTGCAGCCTCTTGACGTGCTGGTCGTGGGAGGAATGGTGTCTGTCGGATGGCTCCCCCTGCGGTGATAGAACATCGTGGGTGTCAGGAGGGTTTGCTTTGCCGGTCGCTGTCAAAGCAATGCTCAATTTCCCTTTCGGATCTGATACTAGCTTAAGCTACCAATACCCGTCCATCATTGTATCCAAACACGATCCGACCAGCCCTTCGGTCCTCACTAAGGGGGGAGCGCCCACTTGATGTTTCCATGGCCCAACGAGAGACCCTGCATCACGTCGGCCCGGTTGACGAGAGCTTGTTTTGTCGCATTCCAGAAGCGCCGTATATCCTCCCATAGTCCTCCCCAGCCCTCCTCTAGATCTGTCATTTGAAGCTCGCACGACAAGGCGTACTCGTCACGAAACAGCTCCAGGACTGTTTGAAGGGTGACATTTTAGTCCTCCTCTCCCTGCTGCTGCTGATCCAGCCAGCGCTGAAATACCTCAAAGCGCGGCACGACCGACTCCCGGTGAGGACAATCTCAAAGATGTCCGGATATTGGTTGCGCGAGCAGAGGGCACAGCACACCTGATTCTTGACCACCTCGACGCTCTCGGGATCCGGCTGCTGCTTGTGCAGGTTTGCAGAGTATGCTGAGAACCGAACGTCTATCAGTCGGGGGGATGCCTTAGACTTGGCCGCGCGGTGTAGGAGGACGGCGACGCAGCGGGCGAACTGGATATGGCACCGCCAAATCTCGACTTGAATGGTCAAGGTCAAGGGCTGAAGTCCAGTTAGAGAAGGAAGAGGAAATCGAGGATGGGTGTCGTTACAACGTCACTCGTTGCAAGCGTCTACAAACTGAGGAAGTCGGTTAGATTCTCTGTGAACTGATCTCCCGCTGTGACGGACGCCAAGAGGGGAGACAAACCATCTCGTCCCCCACTTCGCGCATGTACATCTCCTCGCGGAGCAGCTCATTCACAGCATCCTTCCAACGAAACCGGATCTTTCCTTTGGCCAGAACCTGCAAACCCGGCAGGTCGGTATCGTTGAGAATGTATCCGCCTCAGCATCCCCCCACTGAGATAGCCTTCCCCAAGCCGCACCGTGATATTCCTGTGTGTCGCCGATCGTACGACGCCCGGGCTTCCCGCGTATACTTCTGCGTCAACTTGCCGGGCTTGGACTCCTGTTTGACCCTGACGAGGGGGTGGTGGATGTGCAGCTGGACGGCAAAAGCGGCCACAGCGTCACTGTGACCGGATTCAAGTTCCGGGTCGGCCGATGTCCCTGCCTCGGACTCGTCGTCGCCCATCAAGGCATATTCGAATTTGTGGGCGGCGCCGGCGTAGAGGGTGATGCTCAGCTTCGGGAGCCAGAACTGTCGGAAACGGTGCTCGATGACGCGCTTTTTGTGGGCCGATGAATGGCGCAGGTGCGTTCAGGTGTACGCCGGGTCGCGGTGGAAGTAGGTGTCGACGAGCTGGGAGAGGATATTCTCTGCCAGATCGCCAGGGAGACAGCGCCAGATCTCGGAGAGGGCCATCTTTTGCCACTTGTGTTGTTTGTGACCGTGTCAAAGGAAAGGATGGTGGTATATAGCTTACCTTGACCCATGCAGAAACAAGAATGCTGTAAGTGGTGGTGGTTTCATGTCCAGTCCAAGTCGTGGTTGGCACGTTGATGGGCAGGCAAATGAAATCAAGCAGGCGGGGAATCCACACAATGAGCTGCATCTGTCTGTGTCACACCACTAGAGTTGGGAGGGTACGACCCATCCTCAGGAGCAAGCATGGAAGCAGGAAGGAAGGGAGGCTTGTGGCCAATCTTGAGAAGGACGGCCTTGATTTGATTACAAACTAACACAAACCTATATGAGTGTGTGGTTCTGTCCTCATTGGCGCGGGTTATTGTTTCCAAATTTAGCCCACTGCTGAGAGCGCTGACCAGATGTGAGCAGCTGATAACCCGAGTCGACGGGAGGTGGAACTGCCTCACAGAAAGGTGCCTACCTAATCATCAGTTAAACAGCGAGTTTGTGGATCGAGGCTCAAAGGTATCGGGGCCACTACATGAAACTGCTGATATAATTGGGCCAAACTACCGTGATCCTTCCCGTATGTTATATTTACAATGCGCTGCTTGTATACATGAGGTCCCGTTGTGTCCCTTTGCCTCTTTGCCAGATGCGCCATGTCTCATGCTGATATCCGCTTTTCGTATTCTGTCATTTCCCCCTTCAGGTGAGCACTCAGCCTAGAGTTGCAAACCCATCTTCCTCAGCTTCTTGCCGTAGGTGTACAGCAACAGCGGCACAGGAATCATGACGACGCAGATGAAGCCCAGCAAGGAATTCCCCCACCCCAATCCCAGGTTCTGGTACATGTCTGGGCCGGCCAAGGGCAGCAACATGCCCGCCAGGCTGCGGAAGACGGTGTTGGCGGCGATGGCCGAGGCGGCATAGATGGGGTAGCAGTCGACCAGGTACGTCGTCAGCGGCAGGAACAGCCCGATGATGCCAAAGGAGAAGGGAAACAGGCCGAGCACGGGCACGATCCAGTGCGTGTGGTAGTAGGTCGACCAGCCGTACCAGAAAAAGGTGGGTGGTAAAAAGAGACTAAAGTAGATGCTCAGCGGCAGACGCATCTCGGGCTCGAAGACGCCGTTGTTGGCCTTGGTCCGCTTCACGACGCCCCGGTCCGAGGTGTAGGTGATGACGGCCCAGCCGGCCATGTTGCCGATGCCGAGGCAGATGTAGACGAGGCCCGTGATACCGACGCTCCAGCCGTACGTCTGCTGGAAGACGACGGGAATGGTGGTGAAGAGGAGGTAGAGCGTGCCGTAGGTGAAGGCGATGTAGAGCGAGACGAAGAAGACGAGCGGCGACAGGAAGAGCATCTTGGTCGGGCGGGTGAGGCCGTTGAGTAGGATGCGGCTGGGGCTGAGCTTGTCGGCGCCGGGGGCGTCGTAGCAGCTGCGCAAGTCGGGACGGTTGAGCTCTTTCTGAAGGCGTTTGACCTTGCGCTGCATGAGGATGCGCGGGTTGGTCTCGGAGTTGAAGATCTCGGTCAGGCCGACGATGACGACGGCGACGATGAACACGATCCAGAAGTCCCAGCGCCAACCGATGGTCTGAGTGAGCCAGCTTCCCAGGACAGGGCCGATCGTGGGTCCTGGACGAGCTGCATCAGTACTGTTCTTTGAATATGGGAAAGGATGAGATAGATTGTTTACCAAGCAGCGGCCCAAGGGTGTAGATGCCAATAGCAAACCCCCTTTCATCAACACGAAAGACATCCGAGATGACGCCCGCGCCAAGAGTCTGCCTTGGTCAGTCCTAGCTTTCTCCTGTCGTCTCTGTTGCAGAACTCACCAAGCACCCGGCACCGCCAATGCCGCTGAAGAAGCGGAAGACAATCAGCGACTCGATCGAAGGCGCTAGCGCGCACCCAATCTGCCACACGCAAAAGAAGGCATTCGCCGCACTCAGCACCGGCCTTCTCCCGTACAGCTCGCTCAGCGGAGCCAGAAACAGCGGCCCAATGACATAACCCAGCAAGTAGACGCTGACGGTCATGGTTCCGACCACCTGGTTCGTGTTGCCGAACTCGCGGTTGATGCCCGAGATTCCGGGGGCCAGGATGGACGAGGCGAAGGGCGTCAGCAGGGTGATGGCCGAAAGCAAGCCAACGATGAGCCATTTCTTGCGCGCGGGGAAGTTGAGCGGCATGGCCGGGTCGTCCTGCGACTCCCACCCGACGATGCCTTCGTCCAAGTTGGACACGGGGATCGGCGCCCGGGGGATGCGCTCGCGGGTGCGCTTGCGCGAGATGATGCGCGACAGGCGCGACCGGGTGCTTGTGCGCGTGCTGATGCGGTTGAGCTCGGTGTTGTCATGTTGCTCGGGATGGTGTTAGTGATTGGTTGATACCTTATTGACGACTCGAAGGGTCAGAGTCTGGAACTCACTTGGGCAAGCTCAACGTCAAGCTCCTGGCCTGAGACGGCGCCCTCGGCTTCGTCGTGGTCGATATCAGGGGACCCAAGGTCGTCATGATGGATCGGCCTGGGGCCCGGGTGGTCTTGAGCTTTCGATGTCTTTTCTTTTTCCGCTTTCACGGCATCAAGCGATCCCGCTGTTGAACTCGAGTCCAGGAGCGACTGCTCATGTTTCTCGGCATCATTATCAACCTTGTTGCCGTCCAGCTCTTGGCTGTGTCGTTTGTCCTTTTCGGTTTCATCGGCCATGTTGAATTAAGCTGAGGCAGCTCTCAGGGTCTTGTCGGCATGTTGAGTGCCAGAGCCGAGGTCGCGACCATTGCAGCCAAGAGAAGGCCAAGCGCAGCGAATGTTGGGGATTTTCTACCGGGCACCTGCCGGGAATGGCCTGCAGCACGAAGCGTCGCATTGGGACCCACGAGGACTGGCTGTTTGTACTGACACGTTAGCTCGCGGTGCCGACATTGCCGGCTCGGAGATAGCACGGTAAATCCACCTGCCTGCTGGGAATTACCTAAAGTAGGAGCTTACCTTATGGGACAGCTAGCCAAAGAGGGTAGTGAACCCTACGGGAGGACCGGGAAGGATTCGACGGAAGGGCGTGCTTGTCAATCTTCACGCATGCAAACAGGAAGGCATTCAGATCGTTAACGATATGAGTCAATAAGGAGCTCGTTGTCACTGCTTGTTTCGACAAGCACGCTATCGGCCTTTCAGTGAGGTCCACGGATCTTCCACGGGCCACGGCTCACGGCATGCCCCATCAGTATGGATCCTTCACTTGAATCTTTGGCTCCATTGGATTTGCCAGAACACAACTCATAATTAGTATCTCGAGTGTCCGACTTGCTGGCGGCGGAGCTCGAGGCTTGAAACTTATGCTTGTGCAACCTTCAGCCGTTGAGGGTCGGATCCGAGCCTGGTGTTGCCATCCTACCTGACAGCGTTGCATATACTCCGGACAAATGTTGAGTGACAGGCACTCTGGCTCAGTCCCAATAGGGCATTCCATAAAACGTGGCTGCCTCTGTGATACAGCTATCCATAAAGCTGGTACCGCTCCGAGAAACTCTGTGTAAGAATCCTGGCCTTTGGTGCCAACGGCCTGTCATAGTCTCCGTCAAGCTACAATCGATGAATGGGACAACAGAGGTCGATCGTGTTTCTCAAAGAGTAAGAACAAAAGATGGAGAGTGAAAGAGAAAAAACAGGCGGCACAGGTCAAGCCAATTAAGACCAGGTATCATCATACCCTAGCTCGGTTCCGGACAGACTTTGGCTGGAGGCGGGCCGATGCGTCGCATGATTAGCCGAGGAGAGGTCTCTAATACCACCTCCATGTTTCGAAATAGAAGTAGATCGGGTACATGTTGATGACCAGGCAGCGAACCGTCAGTGCTCTCTTTGGTCGTCACAGCAACGTCTTTTGCTCACTCAGACCTGCCCTCCAGAGGCTATGGCCGGAGGTTAATGCTGTGAGGCAAAACGCGTCGCAAGCCAAGAGCCTCTGGAGCAGTGATCAGCTTTCATCATCCGGTCGCTGCCCTGCCGTTCATTTCCTGACAACAACTCCACGTTGACAGTGTATCTGGCTGAGGTTGCTGGCTGAAAATCGCCGTAATTTTGTTGAAATCGGGAACCGATTTCCTCCTATTTCTTCCTCCTTGTCGTGGTTGCCACCAGCCGTTTCTTGACCGCCTTGGGAATCTTTTCCTTCCTCTTCTCGCGCTTCGCCTCTTTAACGGCCTGCTTGTGCAACTTCTTTTCGTCCTTGTCTTCATGCTTCTTGCCTCTTGGCCGGCCTTTCTCAAACCGACTCTCATCGTCCTCACCGCTCTCGTGACCACTCAAGGCAGCGCCGTCATCGGAGCCCTCATCCGAGCCCTCGGCCTCTTCTTCGCCGTCCTCCTTCTTGACAACGACCTGATCCGCCAGCATGTGCTTGTAGATCAGGTTATCCACCTTCTTGTCGGCCTCCTTCTCAATGTCGTACACCTCGTCCAACGTCTGTGGGATGTACTGGTTGCGGAAAACCTCGTTATCAATTTCGAGCTCAGCGGCAGCCTCGTCTGTGTCTGCAACCGCCGGGCGGATCTCGTACAGGTGCTCGATGGCCTTTGACAGTTCTGGCTCGTCGACAGGACCCTCGGGCGCCGTGATGAAGTTGAAGATGGTCCGGTCTTGCAGGATGTCGACGCCCTGGCGCCGGAAGAAGTCGCCCACATTCTTGATATCCATGCGCAGGAACTCGAGAGCCCGGGGGTGGTCGTGCTCGACGGACTGGGAGACGTCAATGATGTAGAGCTTCTTGTCGTTGTAGAGAATATTGTACTCGCTCAAATCGGCATGCACCAGGCTGCATACTTGGTACAGACGGCGCATGATACCGAGGAGCTGGATGTAAAGACTTCGCCACTGGTCATCCATATCATCACCCGTAAGTCGAGCATCCCGCAACCGTGGATAGGCATAGCCCCTCTTGTCGCCCAGGAAGCCCATGACCAACACGTGCAACTTGAGCATGAGCGGCTCGGGGCAGGCGATGCCCGCGGCGTGTAACCTGCGCAAGTTGCGGAACTCCTTCTCTGCCCAGAGCTTGACCATTTTACGGTTGTTGCCCTTGTCTACACCGCCTTTGAAGCGGTGCTCGCCTGTGATGTATCGCTCTCGATCCTTGAAGACCAGAATAGCTGTCTTGTAGATTTTGATAGCGCGCTGGATCGGCTCGCCGCCATTGTCGGGGTACAGCACGGCGCCGTAGACGTTGGCTTCCTTGCCGGTGCTTATGGCGCCGTGCACCTCGCTGACGACGCCGCGATTGATCATCTGCAGCAGGATCATGCGGGTGCGCTGGTCGAGCACCAACTCGGCGGTGGCACGGTCGGCCTTGTCCTTCTCACGCTCCTGATTCTGTTTGACATTGTCGAGACGGATCTTGGCGGCGTGTCTGGACAGCTCGGCGACTTGGTCGTCGATACTGGCAAAGGTGTTCGCTATCGGCTTTTGGGCGTTGGAAGCGGGTACTGGAGCGCCTGACTGGGCGGCGCCATGGAGTAGGCGCTGGCGGTTGTACGACTTGGTGAGATCAGAAAAAGGGTCGTCTAGTAAGTCATCATCTAGCTCGTCGGCAGAATTGAAGACGTCGTCGAGGTCGTTGTCATCCTCCTCGTGGTAGACGGAGTTATCGCCGAGGGGCGCTGTCCCGTCGAGGGCAGGTTCTATTTGTTGCGACGCCATCTTGCTGACGCAGTCGTAGAATTCGGATTCAGAGCACAACTGTCCAGATCGTCGTTCCGTTTGGCGCAATAAGGCAGGACAGAGCCTTACTGAAAAATCCAGCTCAAAAGCACAACACGGCTTTTGAGTTGCCACAAAATGACGCCGAGGCTCATCAATCAGGTCTGCGATGAGTTTTTGGCGGGGCGTTGCCTTACATATCTTATCGGATCGCGGGGTTCCAGCCCGGACTGCCCGTCCTCGCCGGCTTGGCTTGTGGCCAAAGCTCCCCATCGAGCCGACGGTGGGATGTGGAGCCAGGTCTGGGAGGAGCCTCAGCTCATGCAAGGCTTCAGAGCATTGGCACGTCTTCGACTTCCAATCTTTCCACATCACGCTCGGCCAACTCTTACCTAGGTAGTGCGCAACATAATGTAACCTCTATCTTGTCTTGTGTCGCGCCCCTATCAATTCTTTTCCGTCTCCAGATCTCATGTTCAATTCCACGAACTCTCCTCCCTGCCCCCCCCATCACCATGGCCACCACCTCCAGGCCAGCCTCAGCCGCCCAGCCTCGTTCCCGGTCGAGCTCTTACCATGACCCCGCCTCCCCCCACTTCGTGACCGACCATGTGCCCGTCGAGGTGCTGGTCAGGCACCTTCTGGCAGCCAAGCAGTCGCTCTCGTCGATGGCGTTGGTCCTACGGGCCAACGACTTGTTAACCCACGCCCGCGGAATGCAGGAGGAGTCGGTCATCCTTGGCGCACAGACTGGTTTCTTGCGCCGGTTGATTGATGAGGAGGCTTTGGTCCTGCGCCGGCTCCGGGCAGTCGTCGGGCGCTCGTACGACAAAGGCCAGCGCGATTTCAAGCAACTCATTCGCACCCTGGATGTCGAAAACGACAAGCTTGAGCAGACGATGCGGATGCTGCGGGAGACGACTGTTGACAGGGTATTCCGGCCGCCGGGAGAAGAGGAGAAAAGTTTGATGGACTTTATCGACGAGGACAGTGTAGAGGGGATACGGAATGCTCTGAAGGGCAGCATCGCAGATTTGCAGGTGATCTACCGCCAAAACCACTCCCACCCAACTCTGTCTTACTCTCTTTTTCCCAGGCCGCGCAAACATCCTTTGATGGCGATCTGCTCCGCTTCGACGACGACATCCGCCTGCTCAACAAAGCTTTGACCTCCGCGCCTTCCCCAAACTCCCCGTCGTCCTCCGCCGCGTACCAGCCGATCCCTCGCCTCCTGGATTCCCTAGCTGAGCGATCCCACGCCATGGCGCAGCACCTCTCTTCCCTCAACAACCACTTCGACATGTGCGTCAAAGCCGTTCGAGCGACCGAAGGAGGCGCTGCCCTCGCTCGCCGCCGCGCCGCCGAAGCAACCAACGACGGCGATCCGGTGTCCATCTCGGGGGTCATTACCGAGCAGGAGTCACACCTCCCCGATCTGGAGCCGATGGATCCGCAGGAGCTCGCCGAGATCGTACAAGTGGTGATGGAGGACGCACCCGAGGTAGACGAGGTGGTAGCTGAGATCCAAGCGACGCTGCAGCAGATGGAGCAGGAGTTTGGCGTACTCAAAGAGCAGGTTGATCGGATCCGGGTCGTGTGGATGGCCACGTTGACTGCATTCCAGGTCCTGGAGGAGCTCGGAACGCGGCTGCACGACTACGTTTCGGCAAAACACGAATTCGAGCAGCGCTGGACCGACGAGAAGGACATCATTCTCGCCAGGCTCGAGGAGATGGACGCGCTGAGGCGGTTTTACGAGGGCTATGCGAGTGCATACGACAGCCTGCGGTTTGAGGCGGAGCGGAGGAGGGCGGTGGAGGAGAAGATACAGAACACGCTGCGCAAGGCCAGAGACAATGTAGATATCCTGATTGAGGCTGACAGGAAGCAACGGGAGCACTTTCGGCAGGAGGTGGGCGAGTTCCTGCCGACGGACCTGTGGGTGGGCATGAATAATCCGCTCAAGAGGTGGGAGCTGGTGCCGGTCGAGGGTCCGTCGGAGTCGCAACAAGACCTGACCACGCCGACACTGGCAAAAGCGGTGGCCAAGGGCAAGGCCCCAGCCAGGTAGTTTCTCGGGTGCGTCTTCCTTTGCTTGTTATCGTTATTCTTGCTATCCTCAGGGACGGGCCGGGCGGCGTTGGCCTTGGAGTACTTGCTTGGGCATACCCGGTCATGTTTTTGGAGTCAGGCTGTTGGAGTGTATTGTAGTGTGCTTCAAGAACAACTGCGTGACTGTGTCATCTTATCACCAGGCTTTTGAGTGTTCTGACACCAGTTTGCTTTTTAATCCCTTTGATTCCGGGACAATGCGATGCCCATGGCCCTGCTCAAGATTTGTAGAGTACGGATAGCAACGTTATAATGTCAAGCTCCTTCAAATACAACCCCAGCTTTGCTTGTTGGCAACCAATTTGGGCAAAGCTCCATCTCTCCCGTTTCTTCTTCCTCTATACCATTCTCTCATCTTTCTCTTCTCTTTTGTCATTTCCTTTCTTACTCTGCATCTTTCATTTCCTTGCTATCTTGCCTTCCTCTTCAACTTTTATTTCCCCTTCTTACCTGCTATCTGCCACGCTAACAATGAAGCCAGGGCTGGATGGTACTGTAATGTGTACTTGTCGTTACACAAAAAAGGTGGGTCCCTGGGTTCGTTAGGAAATGAACAGCGACATCTCTTTCCTCTGCTTGAATTTGGCAGCAACAACACAACACAACCGCCCAAAAGAAACCCATCGCCACGCGAGCCACCCTAGCCGACTCCTTTTGCCTTGTCGCAATTTGGACAGCACCCACAAACCAACAGAATTGGGACAATCACCTCCTCAGATCATCTCAACGACAGCACAAATGAAGTCCTGGACTGCGACATCCTGGGGAACCGCCCGCGAGTCCCTGACCCTCAACACATCCACCCCAGCCCCCTCCCTCCCGCACAACTCGACATCCCTTCTCGTCCGGATCACACACGTTTCCCTCAACCCAGCAGATTTGGTCTTGTTGAAGTCACTGCCTCCATGGCTCCCTTTTCGGCGCGCGCCTGTGCCGGGGATGGATTTCGCCGGCGAGGTTGTCGCGGTCGGTGATGCCGTCCCTGCAGAGACGGGGTTGAAAGCGGGTGATGAAGTGTGTGGTGCGATGGGGTTGTGGGAGGTTGCGAAGGGATGTGGGACGCTGGCTGAGTTTGTTGCGGTGGAGAGTTCGCTGGTCGTAAAGGTGCCTGGGAATTGGGGCGGTAGGGATGCGGTTGGCGTGATGGGGATTGCCGGGCAGACTGCTGTTGCTATGGCGCGAAGTGTCATGGCTGGAGGTGGGATGCAGGGCAAGAGGGTGCTGGTTAATGGGGCGACTGGTGGGGTTGGGTCCGTGCTGGTGCAGATCTGCAGAGGGCTTGGGGCCGAGGTGGTGGCTGTCTGTTCGGGAGCCAATGCCGGGTTAGTGAAGGGGTTGGGAGCGGGCGAGGTGAGTCTCTGCAGGAGGAGGCGTGATTGAGAGATTTTAAAGGCTGACGGAGGGATAGGTCATCGATTACCAGGCGCACGATCCGTTGGAGGAGTATTTGGCCGAGGTGTTAGGAGATCGGCCTCTTGATGCGATACTGGACTGCGTCGGCAGGCAGCCGCTGTACGCACACTCTCCGAGATACCTCAAACCAGACGGCAAGTTCATCAACATCGTGGGGGGCTGGTCACAGGGTGTGATACCCTTTGTCCGGAACAAACTGCGGCCGTGCTTTCTGGGCGGAACACCTCGGAGCTACGAGCTGTTTCTCCTCAGCGCATCGGGGAAGACGGCTAGGGAGGCTGCCGCGTGGGTCGAGCAAGGGATCATCAAGCAGGCAGTCATTGATTCTGAGTTACCTATGGAGCAGGTAGTCGAGGTGTGTATCTGGCCCTGGGTAACCCTTGGCTCTCCATTAACTTTACTAGGCATGCGAGAAACTTGCAACCGGCCGGGCCAAAGGGAAGATTGTTGTCAAGGTCGAAAAGTAGCCGATTTCATCAACCAAGTGCAGACTCCCCGGCATTCAAGGATTCAACTTCCAAGTTCGGAGCACTTTGGGCAGTCCCTTCCGGCGGACGGGTGTGACAAGGCCGCGACTCCCCGGTGAGCTGTAGCGCATGCAAGTCGTCAGCATGGTACGCAACAACACGCTGGAGGGTTGGACGAGACTCACTGTGACGAGAGACGATATCCTGAGTAACTCCTCCCAATCTCGATCCTGCATGCCTTCGAATCCCTCGATATGCAGTGCCCGTCCAACCGTCGCGGCAGGCTCCACGACGAGCGGGCTCTCCGAGCTCCGCGGCACGCCGAGCGGCCTCATCCTCCCGCTCAAGACCTCCAGCCTCAGCAAGCACCGCAGCGGGACCTTGTCCTTAGTCCTAACCAACGCGGCTACGCGGAAGATTGGCGGGATGCCTGCCTTGGTGGCCTTGTTCTCATGAACCTGCCACTGCGCACGGTAGAGCTCACTCCGCTTGTCAGAGCTGGATGCCGACCCCTGCAGCCGCAGGCCCTGCCGACTGACAGAAGTCAGCCTCTCGCTGAAGCCGACCTCAAATCTTACCTGAACGGGAACGGGTGGAGTGGTGACACCAGCGTTCGGCTTGAACAACTCTTCTCTATCTGTCCTCACCTCGGTCGGCGGCCCCTCGACAAACGCAGGCGCGTAGTTGTCGACATGGGCCTGGGCCGGCGTGTCGCAGTCGAACGAGATGTCGATGTCAGCCGAGACGATGCGCCAACTTCTCGAGAGGCAAATTGCGATGAAGTTGAACTCGTAGCAAAGGCGCACAGCTGGCTTACCACACAAGGTTGCCTGCTGGGAGATGGACAATGCGGTATTCCAGTGTCACGTTTCGGTGCACCTTGTAGAGGGCTCGCTCAGAACTCTCAGCAGCGGTGATGGGCGGGGCCGATCAGAGGTTGCCGTCGAGCTTGTCTTGGACGAGCTCGACCACGACTGTATACAGGTCTTGAGATGCTTCCATTGTCATATTTAGTCTCGGCCCTCTGTGGGTTGCAGCGGTATCTGAGCAATTCGGAGAGAGAAAGACAAGGTGAGGGAGCCAGCTGAGCTACGCCTCCAATTAGCAGGCTTCCGCTGCGGTTCTCAGCCTCTTGGGACCTGCCGATGACCGGGCAATCTAAAGGGGGGGCTCGGGAGGCCGCTGCGTCAATGCCTCAAAAAGCACCGTCTCGATCTAAATTCCTGTTTGTCATCTCAGCGGCAGGACGTTGTTGCCAGGATGGAGAACCCAGGTGACTTGACGGTAATCGCCATCTCTACGCATGAGGACGCGCCCCTCAGCGCCCACGATGACCTTATTGCTAAAGTGAACAAGGAGCGGGGCCTGGGAGACCATACCAAGGCCCTGGTGCTATACAGGGAGGCCGAGGATAATTACGCAGATTTGTACATATCCATGTGGGTTGCCGGCTTGATAGCTCTACAAGGCCATGTACCATTAGCAATTCGGGAGCTCGATCGGTCACTCGTCAAGTATGCTCTTGTCGAAGACCACCGGGAACTTGTGGCCGCTGCTCGTATGCTTCTGGCCTTCTGGTGGGCAAAAATGGACCTCGATTATTTTCCCGCTCTCAAAATTGGGCTGAAGTACTTCGGCGAGTACGTGAAGCCATATCCGCCTAGTGAGTGGAAAGACTATAAAGTGGGCGATTCGTTTCTATCTGGACTCACCGGGCTCGCTGACGGCTCACTAGCTGAAATCGCGGCTCTACTGATCCCTTCCCACTCCAGACTCAGCCGTGTTAGCGGTGTCAACTTGATCCCATTCCATATGATGCAAACGCGATCAAAGAGGTCTATGATCCAAACACGCGTGTTCCTCTCCACCATACCCGCGAAGATCCTGCCCATCATAAACCCAACCTCGTCGAAGTTGTAGATATCGTCATCCACAATGCCGTACTTGGCCTTAACGTTCCATACGAGTGTAAACCACTCGCCAATGACCTGTGAATCCTCGCACTTGGCCCTATGGTAATCGTATCTACGCGTATACCGCGTACGGAGCTCTGGCTGACCTTTGACAAATCGATGCGCCCAGAGCTTGCCGACAGGGGGCACGTCGCGTACGCGTAGCAGTTGGTTGGCCATATCTTCCACACCACATAACCTAGGCGGAAAGCGCGTGTAGAAAGCTCAATTATATACTGAACAATAGCCTTCTCTTTCATGTTCGTGAGCTTCTTCGAATAGGGGGCAGTGTCGCGTCGTGCAGGCTGACTGTTGGATTTGGCAGGTGGTCAGAGAGGGCAGTTCAGGGGTGACCAATGGCTTGGCACCAGGATTCTCAGGACCAGGAACAGGCAGGGAACTTCTGGAAGAACACAGACAGGTACATCATCATCAGTTGAGTGGTTGCCCATCTTTTTGATACCCAATTACTACGGTGCGGCACATTCGTGGCTGTTGGCTTTCCAACACTGACCATCACGTCGTCGGGAGAGAGTAGTATGATCAACCTATAGATCTTGGCTGCAGCTCGGAGGCTTAGATTTTCGTTTTTCTCAAGAGCTTCAAGGGCTAGGACTATCCTGCCTTCCGTTCAAGTAGGAGGTATACTGCGTGGTGTTGAGAAAATCGATGTTGAGTGAGAGATGATATATTACGCTAAGAAGTGGTGCACTCGCTAATATGGTGCACTCGCTGATACAATGCGTTAACCCATTTATACGTTTCCATTTGTAGATAATGCCAAACCCGAGGTCATGGACTGCAATCCGATTGTTACATAGTATGCACTAACACCGTCAACGATATAACAGTACCAAAATCCCGTCTTTGATTGGACTGTAGAAAACGAGGTTCATTCTAGCTATACCACTCAGCTATAGAGGCGAAGGACGACAGCGTGACTGGATGCTTACGACCAAAAACTCGTTGCTAGGCCTCGGCACAGTCCTCCATCAATGCCAATGCGTCTGTATGTCGACCTTGATAATTTCCAAGTAAAGGCGAGGTTGGCCATGCTGGTCAGCGTGTCGAGATGATTGGCCCTGAACTTCATCTTGCGAGTCTCCATCATAAAAGTGTTATTTCAGAGGCGGGCCGTCATTTGCGGGTCATCCGGCGGATCACCCACCAAAACTGCCCTGAGATAACACATCGTTACTGTATATATAATGTAACATAATAAACTAGCTATTAAATAGTCAAAATATAAAAGGAAGATAATCTGATGGAGTTAGTATGGCTTAAAGTATAGAAAGTAATGATGTATGCGTATATATACCAAGGTGTCGGTTGGATTAGTGTTTGACTTGGTAATAAGCTGTTTTCTTGTAGATAATCTGTACAAAGGCGTCCGTTTCCAATTTAGGCCATCCTACCACGTTTTGAATAATGGCTGGTGATTCCTGAACCATCACACTATATCCGAAACGTTGTCAAAGTCGACTTCTGCAAAATTGAACTGGATACTAGCGCTCAGGCGCTGCCCTGGAACAGTCAACGACCAATTCAATGGCAACGCTTCTATGCAGCACCGGACGTGGATGCGGAGATGGACCAGATCGTATATCCGCTGAGATACTGACGCCTATATGCGAGTGTGGAGAGGGACGAGAGACTGTCGAACACCTTGAGATGTGGTGCTTGGCCCCACCGTTGACTCGAAGATGGGAGGGAGCCGAGGTCAGAACGCGAAGGGACTTTTATTCTGTCCTACAGGGAATCAGTCCCAAAGCTGCACGGCTAACGGGGAGGATCCTGGACTGGCTGATGGACTCGGGGAAACTGCCGATGTACGGTCTGGCCAGGAGGCTGGAGTTGGAGCTCGCAGTCTGATACCCTTTCCTTCGAAGGCCAAGAGGCCTTCCCACTTTGTATTTGCAGGATCGCACACTGATCGTTTCCTTGATTGTCGATATGGGTTTTTCACCCGGCCCACGAGGGCGCGGTTTTCCTGTATAGTAAGTTGTTGAAGGTCCGGCACGCCCTAGTGCACAGCGGTGTAGGAATAATGATATATCCGCTGAGAAATCGTCTTCCCTGCTATGGGCTGAAGTGAGGCCTCTCCGTTGAAACAGCATGTCCTCGCCGTCCATGGACTTGATCTCGGTGATTCTGACCGAGGGACTGGTGCGGAACCGGAAGCGGTAGCGCGTGGCCCTCATGTTGTCCCCATGAATTCTGAAGGGGGTGGAAATCGGGAAGAGAACGCTGCCAGTAGTATCGCCTGGCGATGCGGAACCATCGTGGCGGCAGGACCTGGGAACTTGGTTCAAGTGGGACTCACGAGCACAACTACAGCGCCCTTGATGCTAGAGGCATACTTCACAGGCATGGTATGGAGATGGTGTATCACGTGCTGTATGACGTGCTGCCAGTGTGACCTGAATACTAAGAGGCTAAGGTTGTAACGGGTGGCTCGTGGCACGAGATAAAACTTGACAGCAGGAAGGAAAAGAAAAAGAGAAAGCTAGACGATGAGGGAAGGAAACAGCTTCTAATAAAGTACGTGACGGGGATATACATGTTATCGATCTATTATGGAACTGTCACGTCATAAACCTGCCGGTGACAGAAAGTGTGCGAACCTACCAATAGACCTAGGTTCCTCTAGTGGGACGTGGTTAGAGATCGTAATGCAGATGTCATAATGATCGTAGTGAGAATAGGTGGAAGATGGCCCAGAGGTTGTTGGTCTGGCCAGCCATGTACATTTCGTCATCGTCATCATATCCCCAACACCATGCGCCGCTTTTCTGACGAAAATGCAACCTCCGGGTGAAGGTTAGACCTGAACTCCACCTATGTCCTAGAGTACCCCTCGTAGCCGATGCCCTGCGACCGATACGCGTACCCCGGCTCCCATGCCCCACCACCAGTCCCCGCATACGCAGCTTTCATGGCCACCGGCGGCGAGCTCCCCTGCGGCGCGTGATACCCTGAATGGTATGCCATGCCCTGATGATGCTGCGTATCTCTCAACCCGCCATGACTATGATGCTCCTCCACGATCCTGTTGTCCTGCGGAGCGTGATAGCCCGACTGGTACGTCACGCCCTGCTGCTGCGTGTCCTCGAGCCCTCCCAGCTGCGCCTCACTGACCTTCTTCTTGTTCCGCCGCCAGCGTAGGATCAGAAAGGCAATCGCGGTCACGGCGAGGATCGCGGCGATGCCCGTCCCCACGCCGATCCCCACCACGGCGCCCGTGGACAGCGCCCGGGGTTGTTCTTCTTGCGTCACGTTGAAGGACATGGCCCAGATGAGGTTGACGATTGCCGACGTGGGGAGCGACGTCTCTGTCGGGTTCTTGGCCAGGCCGAGCGTGATGGGAGGCGGGTTCGCTGTCTCGGAGAGGTAGCTGAAGCAGGGTGTCTGGAAGGCGACTTGGCGTGTGAACTTGAAGTAGCCACTTCGCGTCTCATGTTAGCAGCTGCGGTATGGAGCAAAGTGAACAGAAAGGACGGAGACATACTTGGGACAGCACAGCCCCGAGACGCGGTAGTAATCCTGCGGGCACTTGTCCAGTCTGTCCTTTGCGTTGGAAGCAGGGACAGGGAGCTCGCCCGGGCCTGCGGCCACTATCCGGTTCCCTCCAGGGGCTTCGGCGGCGGAGACGTTGAAGGGGCAGCATTGCGGGCGGTCGGCGTTGCACCCTATCATGGGCGCGTAGATAACCATGTCTTCGGCGTTGAGCAGCGTGTAGGAGGTTGTCTCGCACTCGCCTGCCAGCAGTTTGCCGTCATTTGGGGGGTTGGGCGTGGCAATGGGGCGGGGAGGGTCGGTTATGGGACCCTGAGGCGTGACGAACTCGATGGACCTGCCAGGGTATTAGCTGGGGGTTGAGGGACTTGGACTCAGGTAAGCAGGGCACACACTCATACTCAACGGCAACCGTGGATCTGGGAACATGTCAGCACACCAAGTTGAGACGCCATTCCCTCGGTGAGACGGCATGCGAGACGTACGGCTGGGCAAGTTGTGTCATGACCGTGTTGGGAGGCGTTGGACACAAAGATTGAAACCATGACCGTTCGTAGGCATCCCAGTCTGGCCAGGTCAGCGAGTGCGCGGACTTGGACTGGAGTCTTGCTCATCTTACCGTTGATGCCCGCGGCTCCTGCGCAAGTAGATGCGGCGATGGCGCCCGAGACGCAGCCTAGATATTGCATCCCGTAGTTGCAGTTGCATGCAGCCGCTTCGGTGCTGGCAAGGCAGTTTCCGTAGTCGCCATTTGCAGTGCATGTCTGGAAGCCGTTGAAACTCTACGAGAATGGCACACTGTCAGTTGGCTGCCATCGACGCCGCGCCGCCAAGTCGTTACGTACAGAGCAGCCTGGCCCCTCGGCGCTCAAGCTGGTGCTGAAGGCAGTGGTGAAGGTGCCATTCGCAAAGCGCCGGGCGATATGCGGAAGCGGTCGCTGGGGGACAAAAACCGTCGAAAAGGCGGTCGTCGTAGGTGTGATAGGCGGGCTGAAGATAGTCGCCGACATGGCGGGCAGACACAGTCGTTCTGTTCCACCCAAGCTCAAACTCTTAGAGACGCTGTTGGGCCTTTGCGACGAGGGACACAGAGGGAAACAACATGGCCTGGACAACCAGCCCTTTTGTCCCAGTCAGCACTCAGAAAACCCCAGCACCCATGGCCAGCACGCATTGGCGACAGCGCCACGGTCCAGAGCCAGCCAAGAGACGCCAGCTCAAGCTAGGGACCTCAGCCATCGTTGCGTACAATTTTTTCGCCGTGGCGGCGGCGCTGTAGCTTTCGCGCTACCACCTGATGCGGCTGACGGCGTTGTGGGGTGGCTGAGATGCAAGATCCTGTTGGAGTCGGCAGTTTCCGTGGCCTGTCCATGTTTTGTTTTGCGGTTGCGATCGAATGTCGGGTCTCAGCAGGTCTCTGATGCTGTCGTCGCCAAACCGCCCAAAGCCGGACACAACGCGCCTAACCTGCAACGTGGTTGCCAATCTCTTAATCAAGCGGTTGTCAAAACCCATTTTCTTGTGGCAGCACACCGCATGACGGCGGGTACGCCTCCGTGGGCTGTTCCTCTGAACTGTTGATGTTCTTAACGTTATCGTTAATAAGGGTTCCAAGCCCTTGGTTCTGGATGCGCCGGTCGAGACAGCGCCTTGGCAGTTGCCGACTATTGTCTTGGCGGAAAATACCTAGGCTTGTTTGAGTGTCAAAGTCCCTATGCTCTGTAACTACGGATCCGTACAGACAAGTAAGATCGGTCATGACAAGGGCAAGAAATGCTTATCCACTTTGTCAGCCATCTCAATACCCGAGTACGGAGGTAGGCGTTGAAGTGCAAGGAAAGCATGATGTCCCAAACACTTACGCTTTCTCCTTTTTTGCTGCCGAGTCATGCCCCACTGCGCCCCATGATCTGCGTGCACGGACTCAGTAGGGCTGCATGCCAAGGAGGCCATGGGCCTGGTCCATAGCGCACGTTGCGATTGGCTCGCTGCACGTTCGCTAGCGACCTTGGACACAATCAGTGCTCAGCTGGAATCCCACCACATCAGGGCAGCGCGGGTCGACGACGCTGGCTGCGGGTGTCGAAGGAGGAGGTTCCAACGTGCACATCAGAAAGCTTCTTTCTGCGGCAAGAGTTCCCACCATAAATCCAATTTTCCGATCTAAAGACCTCCCCCGGATGTCGAGATTCTGCCTCCCTTTGATCCCTCTGGAACCGTCATCACAACAACGCTCGATGACGGATGTGGGGCCAAGTCGAGTACCGAGCCCTATCCACGCACGCCACGGTCTTGACTACGGAGTAAATGTAATCCGTTACATAAATTGGCAGCGACCCAGGGAATCAACTGATGAACATCTGTAACGACAAATTTTGCGGTACATTCACTTTTGTTTAAAAATATGTTCATTTCGGCCTGTTACCCTGACTGCCTTACGCACAGAAAGCGATTGATGTGTTCCCTGTCTGTTTTGGCTTCTGTGAACAGAAAGACTGTTGTTAGGGACCAACGTTGATCACACACACCATGGATGACCGCCACGAAGTCATCAATCGCATCAAAGTATACGGAGTAGATTGCAATCCTGTTTCTGCATCTGGCAGGAAAGGTCATTTGATCAACAAATCAATAAGAATACCTAAAGATGGACGGCCGGTGTGCCCAACACCTCACAAACAACCTGACTGCAACCCGCCAGCCCAGCTATCCCATTGGGTCAGAAGAACCCACAGCCCGCCAATCTTCCTCGGCAATAACACTTCACCGTCATCGATCTGCAACATATAACTATAAATGTATTTCTGCTCCTGAGACGTACCGCGGCATAACGACTACTAGGCTGGTGATCCAAGCTATTCCTCCACCCAGGATATTACTTTGCTTGTTCCGTTATCAGCCCCAAAGCACAACACCACCCCATCGTCGAGCCATACGCTGATCATTCGTCGTTCTTCTTCCGCCCATTTCAACGTAATCCATCGTTAGCAGATTCCACTCCAAAGCCGTCCGTCACCAGAGTGAGGCTTGCTGATTCACACCAAATTGCGCGGCAGGAGACACGGATGAAGCGTGAAACGCCGGATGTGTGTGAGAGAGAGAGACAACGACGAAACCCGAGACCATTGTGAGAGACCAGAATTAAAGAAACGGAAAGAAACGCCATTTTCCCATGCGCTGACCCAACCATATGCGTGCCGGACCAGAAGAGGCGAGATGAGACCAAGTGCTAACGCTGCATGAGAGCAAAGCCAAAGCGCCAAAAGACCCAGACGAAAATGTTTTTACACTGCCGTTTTCATGCCCTCGTGCCAAAAAAAAATACAGAGTACCCCAGAACGCCAAGCATCGCTGTGATGCCAGTGATGCCATGACCAATAAAGACCAACAACGTCAAGGAGGAACTGGGAAACATTAGAAGCCGCCGCGCGGTCCATGATGAACCGGGGCCGGCTCGAAGCTAGATGTACTAAAGAGGGCGAGCTGGCACTCCCCATCTGTCGATGTACCACCCACGTCGTCCGGACGAGTCGATGGTGCTGAAGAGTCAACCCCTAATGGGCGCCGAAGAATAAGTCTCGGGCCCAGAAAAGGGGAAACGATCAGGCGTGTGCTGATATAGATATGCGTCCGGCGACGTACCGGCAAGTGAGGCGAAATCCCTTGCATCGGTGTGCGGCTGAGCAGGCTGAACGTCGACCCGAGCTGGCGTAGGGTTTGATGTAGAGCTCCCCGTTCGCTCGAGAGGCGTCTCGGCGGGCGACTCCCCCATGGCCCGTAGGATCGGCACGCGTGGGAAGTACGGATTATGGTCGGGCGGAAGCAGCGAATGATATTGAGTACCGCTATGCGAGTAGTAGTAGTTGCTCATCTGGACCGGGCTGCCCTCGTAGCTTGCCGTGCTGCTCGCACTGTCGTCGGATCCTTCAAAGCGGCCGCCCCTGGTTGGGGCCTGTTTAAGCTGAGCGCTTTTCGGCTTAGAACCGTACTGTGGAGCCCGAGTTAGCTCGATATGTCTTGAAAGGACTAGAGTGAAGCTTGCCTCCCATCTGTCCCTGAGCGGAAGGAGGCGGCACAAGGTGCGGTCCAGGGATACCTACAAAGCACCATTTGTTGACAATTTCGTGATACGAAGCGGATGAGATGCCGGCATTGGGAGAATTGGCGGTCGGGGAACCGGTGGATGGTTTAGTAACGGCGGAGTCGACCTTCACGGGGGACACCTGGCCAGTCATGCTGTCGGTCTTGGCCAGAGCCGGATTCTCCGCCTTCTTTCTGGATTTCATGTACAACCCGTCTGGCTTTCCGGCCATTTCGTTCTTGGCGTTCTGGATGGCTTTGCTGAGCGAGTTGCCAAAATCGTACCGAAGGGAGAACTGGCCGCTAGGCCCCGACAGCCCGTTTGACAGGTTATCACTGGGGAGGTCGCCGGCGCTCTTTACGCCCTTCAACCTGAGACCTGTGGGCACCGACTCCCCCAGGTAGTCGTGTATCGACTTGGAAAAGTTGACCTTTTGGTTGTCCCCGAACTCGTCAGGAGCTGGAGCGGCCGGTTTCGTCTTCTGGCCAGGACGGCGATTGCTCTTAGGTAGCCCGTGGAGCGGGCGGGAAGCTGCGCCAATAACACCCTTCTTGCCGTTCTGTGGCAGCATCTTCTTGCGAAAGTCGACCTGGAAGTTTGTGCCGTTGTTGTTGTCCCAGTACTCCTGGCCGTTTACGTTGTACCGGACGCAGAAGAACAGCGTCTTGGACTCCAGATTGGCCAGGTCGGACAACTTGATGGTGAAATTGAATCTGTCCTGGCTGTGAGGCGTATCAACAGGGCGAATCTCGCAGACGTACTCGGCGAGCACCTCGGAAGTCGTCTTCCAATAGTCGAGTGTGAATCGGCAGGCAATCACCTTGTGGAACGCAAAATTGGCCACGGCGACCGACCCGATAAGCGACTTTTGATCAACCGAGAGCCAAACACGCTCCAAACGTACTGACTGTGCCTTGCGCACTGGCGTCTCAACGGGGAAGTTGGTCATGGTGATCTCCCACTCGAACGGAGGGGTGCGCGCCGTCGCCCGCTCATCTCCCTTGAACGGATACTCGGTATCGCTATCGTAGTTATCAACAGGCGATGAGCCCGCACTGACCGCGAGCGGCCGGTCGACTTGAAGGAAATGCCTGACGTGTTCGAGGTGGGAGTCAAAGTGTACCGCCTTGGAGAAGGTCGGGGTACCAGGCACACTAGACGGTCTCCTACGGGTCGCGGGACGCAGGGCGGGCCGAACGAGTTCGCCAGACTTCTTGCGCACCATCTGGGGCTTTTCCCGCCTCTCTCCATCGGAATCCTCCTCAGATCCCGAGGTCGACCGGCTGATCAGAATGTGCGGCTCGGTAGCCGACCTCGCATGGGTAAATCGCCGGTTTGCCCCTGTGTGGATGTCACCAAGCGAGCTCGTGCTGAAACTGTGATGTATACCCCCAGTGAGGGCACCAGCTTGATCCGGCAAGACCAGCAGATCGCCAGCGTCGGGTCCGTCCTTGGTGGTATTTGAGGGAAGACGTGCCCTCTGGTGGGGAATCTGGCTGAGAGCGTCGTGAAGCTCCTTCAGATTCTCAATCTGCCGACCGCGAACCGCGGGCAAGTCGTCGTCGTCACTAGCCGAGTCGGGGGGCGACATGATTGCGCCGTTAGGCATCCGACGGTCGCCGGTAATTGGGGGCGGTGACTGGCGCACACTCCCTGCCATCATGCTCTTCAAATCTTCTGATGTTGCCTCGGGTGAGAGTGGGCTCTCATGGGGTGGCGTGGCCGACGGCGTCCTTCGATGCCTCGTGAGATACGATGCTGATCGCGGGAGGACGGGTCGCGGGCTGGCGCTTTGTGGTTGATTGAATGACGGTCGCCGGCTTCCTTCAGGGGACGAAGGACCCGTTGAAGCCGGTGACCGGTTGGACGGAGGCGTGTATGGCATTTTCCACGCACTGACCTTGGCCTAAGCGAAGCGGGCTCCACAGCAGGGAGGGCTCGAAAGAGTGGAGTTGGAACCGGGTCTCTCAGGCGCGGCTCATGGATGGCGACGTCGACTCTTGGAGGGTACAGAGGACGCTGCAGCCACAATACAGTCAGCTTTAGGAGTTATCGAGAAGTTTGGAGGTGACGGCGGGAAGAAGAAAGGGCTTGAGGTAGGTGTCAAAGACACAGCGCTGGGAAGCCGGGGGGATGGGAATAGCATCCAAGGTTTGCGACATTGTGTGGATTAACAATGCAAGGTGGATTGTATTATTACTCAGAACCGTTGACCAACACCTACCTGCTTACTGTTGAGTCAGGATGAAGCCGGGGCAAGAGTGACTGGCAATATTTCAGCAACAAGTCTAACTCTTGTAAACCCAAGCAGCGAACCGTCTTCTCGGATTATGCCACGGAGTGACGAGTCGGCAGTCGAGACGAGATGTAGAAAGCCGGGTGGCCTTCGTGTCGTTGATGCTGACAAAATGAGCTCCTGTTTCTGGTTCCGGCCGTGGTCGTTGGCCGGTTCGTCAAGCTCGGTCACTGGAATGTGCGGCCGAATCCAAGTCGTCGAACACGACTTTTGTTCCTGGCGAGGATCGAAGAGTCGAAGTCGGCGACTCTCTGGCGTCCGCGGTCTTTTGCTAGTGACCTGTGAGCAGCCTCCTCCTGGACGAGGCGAGTACCTCGAAGGGCTTGTCTGAAGAAAACGAAACACTGGGTGCTTGACAGCAAGAGAAAGGAACGGGCGGGACGCACTGGAGGAGCGGGACCGGCCCAGTTTTGAAGGACGGGACCGAATCGACGCCAGGGGTGACTGTGGGACACAAGTTGGCAGTGCAGGGGTGGTCGCGACTGAGCGTTTTGTCGATGTCCGGGATGCTGTGGCGGCGGCGAGTCAATGCAGTTGGTTTACTCTGGCTCTCAGCGTGCTGCAGTCGTTAAAGAGTGTGCTTCAAATTGGATTGTGTCTGCTTTACCCAGAAGACTACGGAAATGGAAGAATCGGGGACGAAGCTGGAGGCAATGGCAGGAACTGCTGGAGGAGTAAGCAGTTGCACCACAACAAAAAAGTCACTGGGTGGGATGACAAAAAGTTGAACCAGGGAGGGCGTGAACCCAGCGGAGCGATGAGCTGCGTCCTGCAAGCCCGCGACATGCAAGGTCGGTGGGGCACAATTGCCCCACTGCTCGCTTTTTGCTGGGCAAGAGTGGGTCTGATGATGGCGTCGGGGCCTGGCCCAGAAAGTCACCCCCGACCAACCAGGCTGTGGTTCGTGCCCCCTCTTGTGACCGGCGGTTGTCCTTGCTTTTCGTCGGTGGAGGACTGTACTTGTACGTGCACACACTGTGTGAACATGCCACTGCGCGAATCAAGGAAGAACCTCAACCGACTTACACAGTACTGTGATATGATCCCGCCAGGACCGATGCCGGCAGTCCAACTGGCATCTCTCACGAGCGGTAGTGGCCTTCAAAATCTGGTAATTTGAAGAGCCAGCCAGAAGCGTTTTCCGTTGAATGCACTTCAGAACGTCTTTGATGGCTTGACCTGCACATACGCAGTAAAGAGACTGAGTCCTCGGTCAACAGCACGGCATGCCCATCATCTGAGGTACAGAACCTGATACCAAAATTCGACTAAAGTCAGCTTGTCGGCGAGCAACTTTGAAGTCCTATGGTTTCGTTGTCGAGCAGCAACTCCGTCTCCCCTATCAAGATGATCTTTACACAGCAAAGGCCTTCAAAAGACTGCCAAAAGTAGAGACTCAGGTGAGAATCGTCGCGATTCCTTCCAAGGAAACTATTCAATGGAGGGGTTTCGGGTACTGATATCGAGCGTTACGATTCGTTGCGGTTTCGGGACCACAAGGGTGCCGCCATTGTCACCGTTACGCTCGCACATGATAACTTACCTCCGTACTTCTGGGTAACAGCGCAGAGCTTGGGAACAATGACCCTGCGGCCCGGCTTTGGGAAGCGCCCAGCATGTCAAACCCTTCCCTCTCCGGCCAAGGGCAGAAAAGAATGCTCGCCTCCATCAGTGGTGAGCACTGCCGTCAGAGTTCAAACAGTTCCTCCAGCAAGAGCCCAACATGGACTGGCTCGGATCCCGGAGATTGCGATGAGCACTGACGCTCGGCCGTTGAACGGTAAGGTAACGTTATGGCTGGGAGACCACTGTGGCTGGCCTGGACTTGAAGAGGCGCCACTTGAGACCATCTTGAGCCATTGCTTCAATTCATAACGGATAGGCTACTTGCAGCTCGTTTGAGATTATACATGTAAAGCTGAACGCGGCGAACTCAGATGTTGGAGTCCAGAGGTGTTCTGAGATCACAGCTGCGGCACAATGCAAACATGAAGACCCTTTATCGGCCTGGCACATGGAATCCAACCAGGCAGATATCCATCTCCTGAAGTGATTCGAGAGCATCCATGGATATCATGCCCAGAAGCAGCGACTTTGGTCTGGTTTCGGGTCCACAAGTGCCGTTAAGTTAGCGTCTTATCCCCGCCAAGGGCCATTTTCTGCCTTGCATCGTGGGACCCAGGCCCTGGCCCGTGCCACTGCTGAGACGAGTCAGACGACGTCGCACAAGCCTTCTCATCAGCAAAACCAAGGAAGCTGCAGATTTTCTGGCCTGTTACTCTGGTTCGCTTTTTGTCTCCCTGGAAGCTAACCAACATCGGCTGGCTTGAAAATGGAAACTTGATCCGCACGGACCCCGGCCTTGGCTTCGCGAGCGTGATTGTTTCTTCTTCCGACTCCCCCTTGTTGACTCCCATCCATGGATATTTTGGAAGCAGTAAAGTTCTTCCTTCCTTCCTGGTATGGATTGCCTTTTACTTTGGATAGTCCGGCGAATCAGGATAACGTTAGCATTTGCTCCGAGACCTGCGACAAGAACGAGTTATTGAATTGCCTACCAATGTGATCGGCATCCCTAATGCGGGGCAGCAGCTCCCAAAATCATGTCGTGAGCCCCAGGCTGCGGGCATCTTCCCAGCTCCATGAAGAATCAGGATGATGGTTGGTTGTTTGTGGCTGGGGCGCTGGAGTACCGCGGACATCGCACGGTACACTGCACCCAACAATAGCTTATTCATTGGATGCTCTCAACCTTCAGTAAAAATTCATCTTGACCTCCAACATGAACCTGGATACCAGGCACCTCGTTCTTGTTGAAGGTCATAGAACGCGGCACAGCGACGCATGACCATACCGCGGGCGGCGCAGGCTTTGTTGGTCTCTTTCTAGCGCCGATGGAATGTTTCAGCCTCAAGGCACGACGAGCCCAACAACAATTGACCGGCGCAAGCCGTTGTGTAATTGGATCGGGACGTTTCCTCAATCGCTGGCGGCGATCATGGCGCGTCATAAACCATTGTCTCCCACCTGCAACTCAATGCTCATTTTCAACCACCACGAAAAAAATTGGCCTTGATGGTGCCTTGGATGCCGAGGTCTGCGGTTCTCGCAATTCTACTGATATCACTGAAGTTTGGGTATCTGGTGAGCTCCTACGTTTTCTGTCGATCATTCGCGTCTTCCGGAATAAGGTTGCGCTTCTCCGAGGCAGCTATTGTTTAAGGAAAAAATAACCCCCTGCTCAGTTATGCAAACAAATCGACCCCACGCCCAATTGCTCACCAATCTCTGCCCTGATACCTACCCGAAGGATAAGGAACCACCAAGATCTGGCATATTTTGCTGTTCTGTAAGAGGGCGAAGTTCAAGATGGCTTTTCACGGTGAGCGAGAGTTCTATCTTATCTTATCGCTGCTTCCCGTACGACCCCTCTTTATCGCCAGCAGAAGATCGGATGGACTGATTGGACAATTGCAAATCTTATCGGGGCCATTGGCCAATGAATGCGCTTATCTCCGGCTCTCCCACACGTGGGAATTCGCGTGCTTGTCAACGGTTCCGCCGCAGCGCCAGACGTTCGCGGACCGTGCCAAATTGGACATCCTTCGCACACTGTATCGAACGTGAAGTGAGACGGGTTCGGAGCCTGCCATGTTTGAAGACCGACCGGACGGATCGCGACTCGCCCCGGTCGTCCGGGTTTGCAACGAAGCCGCATCACCAACGCTCACGTTTCTCTTCCGAATACATCCCGGTCTTTCTCCGTGCCATTTTGGTCGCTCCACTCCTCACTAGCTATCGAGATTAACTGAGCAACACCATCTCATTCCCGTTTGAAGAACTTTGTTCGATCGATCGCCTGCAGTTTTAAAGCCTAGCCAATCCGGGGCTGCTCACATCTCGGAAGCGGCCTCATTGGACATCGGAAGACTTTCACGCCAAGAAGGTTCCACATCGCGCGCACCATGGGCCACCGCAGGCCTGCATGAGGAACGCACGGCTGCAACGCGCAGCACAAGCCAAAGACACCTCATTCCAAGATTCTTGGGTTTCAACTCAAGATACCGACATTGGTGACACACCGCAACAGCGTCTCGCCGTGGACGATCAGGGTTCTCGCCAAAGCATGGACGATCTCCATTGATCGCCGTCGGGACCTTCTAGCGAGCCTCGAGCTCTCAGGAAGGGGGCGGGAGGTGGGAAGCGGGACATGGGATTCTCGAGGCGGGTGTGGGATTCGAAAAATTTCCATGTTGAGGCAACAGATGGTGAAACGTTGGCGCCATCGTCCCCATGCACCTGCCATACTTAACACGCATCCCAAGACGCATTAATATTGAGCGATAGCGTACAGTAGTAGATGGGATGCCATACCCCTCTTTTCGGCAATGCGCCCTCTCTCCGTGACGATAGGTAGCGATACTCCCTCTCTTTCCAGGTGAGCCTACCGTGAATAAGCTAACTCTGGGGCTACCATGGTACCCGGTGGCCTATTCCGGTTCCCCCATGATTGTGTACTGTTAGGGGGCATGTAGATTTGCTGGGTCGAACAACACATGGTCCAAGGTTGCGGGATGACGATACACTTGCGGCATTCGCCTATTAAAGCACCTTTTGGCCCGTCTTGCTGCCGCACCGGGCAATCAGGCCTAGAGAAGCCTACCTACCCCGATTGCCAACATTGAGGACGACCAGCGCAAGCCGAGCCCAAGAACAGACTCGGCGTCTCGTCAAAGCCCGGTAGCTGACTTCTCCCCGCCCGGCTTCGATGGATGAGTTGTGTTCAAGTCCTGCCCTTCTTGGAATTTGGCAAGGCCCCGGGTCCAATAATATCAGAACAATACGGTTGCGGCATGTCGCACGCGTAGCGAGGTCTCATGACTTTGAGCTGCCTTGGTTCGGGGCTCCGTAGCTTCCGTTATGTGGGGAGTCGTGAGACATGTACTTTACCCGGACTGGCTCAGCCTGCAACGCCGGATTCGGGACTGCCGCTTTGGCACATGCAAGATGACATCATCGCTCACAGCCTCTAATTTCAGCAATTTTCAAGCAACCCTCAGTCCTCACGAACAAGTGAAGCCACGATATCTGAACCTACAACGATAACGAGCTTTTGGGTGCCTAGTTAATTGTAGACATGATCGAAATAGGTATTCCAAGAAAGGATGGTATGCAACTGCTGAATCCAGCCACCGATGTGTCTGAGACGTACACTTCCGCTTTTTGATTCTCTGCGGTGACCTGTACGTAACGTAACGTTGCGCCCACTGTGCTTTGTCGTAACTTCATGTTTCGTTATGTCCGTAAGCGCTGTAACAAAATGATACGGATACACACAGGCGCAGGCCCCATCTATGTGGGCCCAACCAGTTATTCTGTACTGTGTACGGAATAAAGCACCGCGACAGTCATCCAACCACCAAATCTTCAAGTGTGTCAGTGTCTGGTAATACATGCCGGACAGCAATGAGTCTGCAAATTCCATGTCCAACCGAAACTCTGAGAGGACAACAGCCGCCAAAATCGCGCCAAGCTATATCAAGCTGCCGAGGACTCAGCTTTCCTTTTGCTGAGTGGCGCAACCGTTTACCTGTTAGGAACCATTGCAACGGCGTTCGTTCGCAGCAGCCACAAACCAGGTGATTGCCCCCGGCAACCACCCGCAGGCGGTGGGGGCCACCTTGGATTTTTTTTCAGCACAAGTCTTGCAAACCAATCCCACGTCAATGGAATCCCGGACTCATTGATCGTTGTCACCACGACGAATCTTTGCAACAATACCTACCTGTTACACATACTACACACCTCAGCATTCTCTTCACCCGGTGGAAGTGGTCATCACTAGAAAACAACTCCAATTCGGCCCGGGTCACTGGCCGCACGGCGGGGTTGTGGGCATTTGCATCAGCCGTGATTTTGACGCCCTTCAGCTCATCCTGCATTGCTTGATGAGAGATCGGCCAATTGAACTCAACAAATCCCAAGAGCCAGGCGAGATTGGCTGCTGCAGCACCAGTGTTCAAACCCCTCGTACACCGGAAACAGCGGTGAACTTTGTCCCCCATTCTTTCGGTCAGCACAGCGGCAGCTCCATCATGTTAATTCTCCCTTGACTCCCTCCTGTGGGTTTCCCCGCGCGAGATCGACAAGGCCAGACCGTCACACTTTGTCGACTTTCACCCTCACCACAGCCAGTGCGCCTCCTGTTATTCGTACTCTTTCTTTCATGCGGGGCCGCCGATGTCGTCCATCGGGGCTCGGAGCCCTTTTACTTCCGGCCCGGAACAAGTCAAGTGGCTTGAATGCAGCCCAATGGGCCCGGACCCGATAGTGTCACGGAGTCTTTCCGGATATACCATGAACCTCTCCTCAGGACGACATCAAGCATTGGCTAGCCCCGCACATAAGGCGGTGATGTTGACTGCCACACGGCTTCTTGGGACAGAGTTACTAGAGGTTTCGATGACGGCGATAGTCAGAATGTGTCCTCATCCCCTTTCGTCTTGCCGGCGACGTGCTTGTCACCACGCGATCAAGAGTATTCCAGCGCCGCATGCACTCAACCTTCGATGTCGAAGAACGGGTCCTCGGAATCCACGCAGCTGGCAGGTCCAGCTCTCAGCCTACGCAACCCTTTGGGTCATGAGCGCTGCCTACCTTCCCCGAGTCGCATCCACCCTGGGCACCACAGCAAGCTGAGAGAAGCATCGAAGCTTGGGAGGACTGGGCGTGCTATCCTCGAGTGCTTCACCGGGTTGCGACAACACAGGGTTGCTCGTGCCGTGGGCCATCTGCTTCGTCTTTCTGGCGACAACGATAAAGCCGTTATGTTGCACTCTCACATCCTTCCGCCAGTAACGAAAACAGCGACGACGGGCGATGTTGGCCACGTGCCATCCACACTCTCGTCGGAACGACCGCTGTGGTGTGCTTGCTGCCGTGTCTGCAACACCGGTGAAGCTTTTGAAGCAGCAGATAATGGCGCCGTTATCAATGCCAGAGGGCCTACGGAGGTACCCCGCAAAGTGGCTGACGCTGAGGCACGTTACACGACCATGGCGATGCCCTCTCCGTCCTTCTGTCTGACGCCGGGACTCGGCATTGGATATCGACAGTCCTTCAGCACGGCGAGCCGAGTAACAGCGACAATAAGCACGGTTCTTGCATCTGGACTGTAGTTGCATGATAGTTGTTGGGTCCGCTAAGATCGGAGTGTCGGTGCTTCACCATGTCGACGACGCCAGTTTAAGACGTAGGGTGTCGGATGCCCCACCGCCCCTCATCGAGCGAGTCGGGCACAACCCCTCACCGGTCCTCATGAAACACGCCTGCCATCCCTCCGTACACTACTGTGTACACTACACGCGTTAACATGGGGCACTCTCTCCGCGGAAATCCCCCTCCAAACCGCCCATCTAAGTCATCTTCGCTTTTTTATGCGAGTTACGGACTACACAGGACACCCGCTTTTCCCTGAACGTGTTGTCTCAACCCTGTGAGCCGCACAAGCCTCGGTGGGGGCCCTTCTCGGCGATCAGCCTCAACCTTGATCAAACGTTTGATGCCAAGTGCTCTACACTAATGGCCTGGAACTCTGGGATCGGCATCCTTGGGACGCGTTGACGGGCATCTCCATCCAGTCGTCCAAGCTCAGCTCCCCACTTTGAGCCCGGCACGCCGGCGAGCCGCCAATGCAGCACCAAACGCATGCGGCAAGTCCAAGAGAATGGTTAACGTTAAAAGCCTGGACGCCACCACCAGCCGTCGACGAGAGGGGCTGGCGTTGTTGCAGGAAAAATCTCTGCGCCTGCCGGTGGGCGTTTCGGGTAAGGACCCCCGCGCGCGAAGCACCATCCGGAGTGGCGATTCGGCCAACAGAAAAATCCTCACAGTAATAACTATTGAGGCGCTTTGGGCAATACGAGTTTGAGATTGCGCATTGCGCATTGGATTGCCGTGACAGCGATGCTATCATGGGCCGTCACAACCCGCTTGCGACCTTGACACATTGGATGGATCCCGGCATGTTGCAATCGGCGTAAGTCCTGCAGGTGATAATATCCTGTGAGAGTCGCAATCTGGACCCGCAACGCGGTTGACCCCCGGCCAACCTGAAGGACTTCGTCGAATGGTTGCTGGGGAGTTCAGCCCTGAGCTGCCGAAGAGCCGGATATCGCACTGCAGCCAGGAGTGCGCGTCAAAATCGAGTGGCATGGCGAGATCGATTACTCATGCGCCTCCGGCCGGCATTGGTCATCAAATCCTTTCTTTGACATTTTGAGCTTGGCTGCATTGCTAGCTTGATATCGAAAGTATGACCTGGTATGCACCCATCGTGGACTCGGACCCCACTTGCTGTCAAGCAACTCGAGACAAGTCAGTTCAGGGGCTAGGGGCTAAAACGTGTGGCCAAATCAAAGTTCTTAGCCAACAAAATCTCGAACCGGAGGGAATTCCAATGCAGATAACGATTCGTCAATGGATAGTTCTCTGGAAAGCTCCAATGAGACGCCGGCCTCTTGGCCTGGACGGTGCGACACTTGTCATACGGCGGCCGGCACGGTCCTTATCGGATCGCGGATGACGGTGCCCGTCAGGAACTGCAGCTTCTCCGATCAATCCACAGGCTGGCTGTGTATTACCGCATCAGTCGTTTCGCTTTATCATCACTTTGCCTCCTCTGTCTTACTCTGCAACATCGGCGGGGAGGGGTGGCAATCAGGCTTCTCGACGGGCAGGCAATCTCACATGCGAGCCATCCCCGAGCCGCATCCACTGGCACGACCTCGAGTCGCCGGCCCCGATAGTGCGCATGTCTTGGGTAACTGGAGTGGCATAAATTAACGAGGGACTGCAGGCCGATGCAGCCAGCCAACCCACTCAAGGGATATGGATTGCTGCAAAAGTAGTAATCTATTCCGATTATAACATCTGTCTTCCGAATGGCGATGCTTACATGAGACCAGGCCTGCAAGGCAGCCCACACCTGCGGTACCCAGACCGCCTAACGGCTTCTTGTAGTGCAGTCGTGCAGTAGCGCTGGCAATGATGGAGGGTTGCAGTGCAGATTCGCTTGCATGGCCTGCTTGGCCAATCGAGCGACCGGAACGGGGAACGGTGTTTGGCCTCCATCATTTCCCCGTTATTGTGCATCATCCATCATCAACCGGCTGCTGTGTCTCTCTTTCTGCGGCTTTCGTTGTTGGTGGACGGAGGGCGAAGTCGTCTTGGGTTTGCCTTTGTGTGCGGTGCTGTTCTGCATCCATCGTCTGTACAACAGTACAACACAACCGAGTGGCGGTCATCCGTTCCCCGGTTTCTGTGTTATGCGGCTACAACTGCTTTCAACAGCTTGCCGCTCGGCTGCGGTTCACCGGTGGGTCGTCAGGGTGTGTCGTACATGTTGCTGGTCTGCAGCCGGTGAAGCGCGCTGTAATATGCTGTCCACCTTGGCCGTCAGAGGATTAGGTGGTTAAGAGTTGCTAGGGTTGTTACTCCTATTCAACCCGGCTCGGTCATGGCAGTTCCCCGGCGTGGCACAGGTGAGAGGAAGAACTTCGAGAATTCTCGTTGTCATCCCAAAAGATTTTGATCATCGCACAGAACTTGCCGTACCATGATCTTCAGTCTGCCACGGCATGGTCTAAACATCTATACGGACCTGTCAAAGGCTCATCCCAAGCCCCATCTTGGGTAACCGCTGGCCGGCCGGCAGACCGGAGAGTCAAATCACGTTGTGGTGTGTCGCCATGTGCCATGCAAACAGCCCACTCCCTCCTCCCTCCTTCGCCGAGTAACACATCATACTCTAATGTCGCCTTGCACCCCTCCTCCATAAAGGCTGCGTCAACGGTTTGGTTCCGGTCACTAGCGCGGTTTCGCGTTGGCTTTTGATAGGACTCTGCTCCATTATCCGCTCATCCGGCATTAGAAACACAGACATCCAAAGCACAACCTTGAGCCCTCCCACTTGTATAGAGTATCCACCACTCCAGACTGTATACGTCCTCCTTTGCATAACACTGATCCCACATGTCTATCAATGAGATATTGCCGTCTAATAAGACGCAGGCGGACCCGACCGCACCCCTCATATGCCGGATAGCGAACAGGGAAGGTACCCCCCTCTTGAATGCCAGGACCCTTTGCAGCAAGCTACACAAGCCACGTTCCACGAGCAGTCACATCAAGGGTCCATCTAACCGTGTTCAGAGCGAGGCTGGTCCGATCGATGAACCAAAGGCCAGACCATCGGGATCTGCCAAAATCTCCACATGCCGGGCCGCATCTAGAGACAGACATCTAGACCTCTAACTTGAAATGCATGCTGATCCTGCCGATGCCGTTTCTCGAGTTAGTTCACGGTCTTTGGATTACTTTGCCGGGGATTGCCCTACCCCGGCAGCACTGAGAGCAGTGAAATACTCTGTTGTGCCCCTTTGACAGTAATAACCGAGGCATCCGCTCCACTTCTCCCCTTCTCGTCAGAAGCTGCATGTAGGGTCTTGGTAAACACCGTGTCATGCCCCACTCGCGCAGACTCCGGCATAAATCGCCTGCCCACATTATGCATATAGCGAGCCCTGGGCCAATGTGGGCTTTGCGAAGGGCTCCCTCCTGATGCTGGGCGTGTAACGGGGCGTCCATACAGGGCCTTATCCGATGGTGCGCAAAAGGGGGAGGGGAAGAGGTCGGGAATGGGGCGAGGCATCTTACCTTAGCTGGACGGCCCGGCGGTCTAGCAAGTTCCAGGTGGGCAACACAAGGGCTGACCGGTGAGTTTAGAGTTGCCGCATCTCATTCAAGGCTGGTTGGGTTGTGTTTCTCGGCGGTATGGGGTGCAGGCTCGGCATTGAGCGTTGCTACTACAGCATCGGCTGATAGAAGGATTAAGTAAGAGAACTGTAACCCGGGGCATCAATGAAAAGCGCTTCTCTCTCGATCTACTGGCGTGAAGAAGTTGGCGGAGCGAGACCCTCCTTGCAGCGCCCTCCGGGTTGGTTGCACCAAGCCGTTAGGTCGATGGTATCCTACCTCTCGTTGCCACACCGGTCAGAAAACCCTTTCGTCGTAGCGACCTTCCACCGTGAATATCATCGTGACGTAGGGGTTTGTGGCGAACACTGTACGGCCGAGTACCAGTACTCCTGGTGCTGGCGATTGCTCTTTTCCACAAGCACCTGATATTCCGAGCGTCTTGCAGTCTGATGGGGCTCATCGATCCATGCAGGGTCCCTCTGGGCGCGCTGTAAGATGGAGGAAAGGTGAATGTATCAATATTGACGACGGCAACCCGTTCATATCCCCTAGCTTGAAGGCGGACTGGACTACATGTAGGTTAGAAGATGAACATTGCTATGAATCCAGTTATGGATTGGCTCAGGTTTCGCAGTGGCCATCGATTCTTCATTCTCCCAATACCGATTCGCCGTTGCCAACTCTTCGTTCATTACTGCTGAACCATCCCATCCAAGAGTAAGGTAGTAGCGCTCTTCATCCTCATAGCATAGCATAGCTGGGACACGAGTGCTTGAGTTAACGGTGCGATTCCTACTATTGCCTGTGCCTTTTTATGAATTTCATTTCAAGCAAGCTGAACTGAGTTCGAAGACCTTGGCACCGGGTCATCAAAGTACATCGCGTCAAGTATCAATCCTGGATGAGGTCCAGACCTAACTCACATATCTCTGGCTCGGCTCATTGAATCACAACAGTAATTGAATATAGTAATCGATTAGACGTGTTGTATCAGGTATTACTCATATCAACTTCTCTTTTCTCATAAAACACCCGTCGGTGTCATAATCGATGACAGAAGTTTCTAGAGAGTCAAAGGCACAATCCAGTCATGGACGCGCATCTCCTGACCACCCAACCAAGCTGGCGAGGTTTCCGCGGTCTAGTCAACGTAACTGAACGATAGGACCAGGAGAACATCTGTGGAAATTAACACAATTCTCCGTGGGAATCAGGTCACACTATGACGCTCTTGAAGGGTGGCGGCGGGTGTCGTCCACGACACACCATGAGTGTCCCAGATTTCGAGTTACAGTCAACTCAGACTCAGGCAAATCCATGCGCACCTCGAGTCTTGCTGCATAGCTCTATCATTTCACTCACATCGATCTCATCTTTACCTCTTGACTGTCGCCCCCCGATAGGCAGTATCAGTCCACTCTCCTCGCTGCACTGCCGATCCCACGTCCTCTTACATACCGTAATGGGAAAATGCACCAGGCAGGTATGATACTTCGCATTCCAGGGATACAATCTGCCGTTGATGTGTCAACTAGCATTCCCACCGCAAGTAGCATTCCCAGCACAACTAGCGTTCCAAGCGCTCCGCTCTCTGATTGGCTGGTAATTCTTTCGGTCATGCTCAATCCGGCTGGTCGATCAAACTGTGGCAATTGGCGCTACTGTAAGCCACTGTAAGCTACCTAAGCCACTGTTCGCGGACGATGACAACTCACCATACCTAATCCCTTTTGAACAACGCACAAATGCTAGACATGAAGATACAAAACGAGGAATTGAGTCTTCTCTTTTTCTTACTGTTCTTAGTAAGACATCATCTAACGCTAACGTTATTCTTAAACACACATTATATACTGCCACTGGCATCAATCGGATGCGGCGATACAAGCAGAAACCCGGCGGAGGGTGACACACACCAGAGTCGGCTCGATCATCCATCCAACAGTCGCAGGCACAGTAGAGAGATGTCTTAAAGATTGTGACGGGCACCACCCAAGGTCTGGTCAGCTCGCACATACAAGATCAATATTCCTACGAAGAGAGCAAGAGCTAGATGACAGGAACGGGCGTGCAACCAGACCTATATGCTGGAGCACATGCCTATGATACAATCATGAGAACAGTGACCACAGGCATATAACATGACCATGAGAACAGGAACGGGGATCCCGTGGCAAAGATGCTACTGAACTGTATCGATATCTGAAAACAATGTAGCAAGCTGACCGATCAAGATACTGCCCAGGTTACCGCAGACTGCAACCAGTGGTATCCTGCTTTAAATCGGCTGGCGGGCTCGGAGGAGAGCGGGCCGAGAAGCTGGAATGACTGATGTGGTCCTCCTGAGAGGTGCGACGCTTAAGCTAGGAACCATCATCCACCCGTGCGCCACGTCCAAGCCGGGTTCTCTGCTGTTGCTCGACAGATTGAGACATGTGTTTGCCGGAACGCCCGCTACCCGCGCCTTTGCCCCGGGAGGCCGGAGTACTACTACGTCTAGCTGTGACCCCACGAGTATTGGTGCGAACTGTCTGCGTGTTGCCGTCAGCTTCTAGAGCACGTTGAGATATCCTGCGGTTGCGACTCGAAGTGCGGGTAACCGAAGTGGCTTGTGCGGTGCTGGTAGAGCCGCCTGCGGTAGACCCCGTCGGGGATGTCTTCGCCGTTGGGATGGACTCTATCGTTGCAACGTTGACAGTCGCACTGAATGCTGTAGACTGCTGAGTCGGTCGCTGCACCGGCGACCGGCCGTGGACGCTGCCAGTGCCGGATGTCGGGATGGCGGGCACAAGAATCCTGGAATGTGAGAGGCGAACTAATCCGGTACCCCAGCCAGACCGTGAAGGAGGCGGCGGTGACATTCTCTTCGATGGTGTTCTGGTGATGCCTTGGAAGCTCGGTGGAATTGATCCGGTGGGTTGGCTGAAGCTGGGGATATGAGGCAGCGGCACGGGTGTTTCAGCGTCTTGGTACGCTGCCGAACCGCCCATAAAGCTGCGGGTAATAGGCTGTATCACGTGTATAACGCCCGAATGAATACCACGGCTAGCGCCGAGTAGACCAGTGGGGGCGTCACTGAAGGAGGGTGCGACAAGTGGGGTACGGGCGGCTTGAATGCCTCGGACACTGGGCCCGGCCGAACCGCGGCGTGCCCGCTGGTCATCGACAGCGGCGACAATGTGCGGCGAATATTTGATGCTCGCAGCACGCAATAGCGGCTGATCATCTTCGTCATAACCAGGTGATGTGCTAGCCCGTTTATCTGTGAGCTTCGCGTGCTGCTGACTGTCCCTGAAGATGTCTTCGTCATCGTCTACGAGCATGCAGTCATCATCATCATCTTGCTCGTGATCAGAGACGATGATCTGCTTCCCCCGGGTGCCAATGTTACGGGGACCGTCGTCAGTTTGAGGATGACCATGAGATGTAGGCTGGGGTTTAGCCGTGTCCTTTGTCTTAGGGGCAGACATCGCATATGGCATGCCAAAACTGTCAGTCGTGTCTGTTGAGGCAGGGCGCTGGATGTGATGACGAGGAGGACGCTGTGTTGTCTTGCGGCGCGGTGAATCTCGGGCAGAAGAAGGCTCGTCGCTCTCAGAACCAGGGGGAGGCGAGTTGGAGATGATATGCTGGTTGAGTAACTCTGAGTGGGCGATGACCAGATCTTCATTCGGCTCTTGTAGACTACTGCCGGCGGGGAGCCACGTGAAATGGTTAAGCTCAATGTCCTCGAAGTTCTCGAAAGCTGCAAGGCTGTCAAAGACCTTGTCGCAGATGCGTCGCTGTGTGTCGTCGCGCTTCCAGCCGGTCATGATGGTTGGGCGCCACTGTCGACCTTGATTCATGATCTCCTCTGAGATAACGACAAAAGCGACTTCCTTCATCATAGTCGCAAACATGATCTTCAGGTAATAGAAGGGCTTCTTGTATCGCTTGCCAAAGGTGTTCTCCCAGTCGAGAATTGGTGCCCATTGCTTGAATACGACCTTGAAGAGTGTCGCATCAACACGGCTGTAAATCCATCTCTTGGTGTGCTCGAGATCGGCTCCGCTGAAATCCTGGTACCCTTCGCCATACTGCCATGAGTCGATATGGATCCGGGGGTCCAGTCGGAAGTCCGTCTTACCAAAGTCGTCTAACCATGTCCGTGCAAGGCCGTACATTTGCTGGTACAGAAGCCGGTGTTTGAAGTTGGCGGACATTCGCTGCGCATAACCGTAGAGGTTTGAAAAGGTGCTGGATGTATTGCTGATGTCCGGGCATGCATCGACCACGATGCGACCAAGTGGCTTGGTGCTACAGAAGACGAAAAGCACCTGCCGGATCCGGTAATCGACCTTGTTCTTCATCATGGTCATTTCGGTGGCGCTGGGTGGGTTGGCGGCAACCCAGGGGTAGAAAACTCGAATGTTTTCGGTTTCACTCAGCAGGTCCTTAAAGGTTGCGCGATTGGTGGGTTTGAAGAGGTCGGGATAAATCTGGTCGAGCGATTGACCGGACTTTCTGGCAGCACTGCGGATCGTCGAGCCGCCTCGAGTCTTCCTCGATGATGCAGTACTGGGCTGGGTGCCTGATGTATTGTGGGTACTGCTCGGAGTCGCGGCAACAACCGGCTCGATGAGTGCGGTGGGCTGTATCGCCTGGGTTGCCATGGTCGGGGTAGGTTCCGATTCTTGATGACGTGAGGTGGTGCCTGTCGGAGTGGCGGGGGTCGGCAAGATCGTGCTGCCCATTGCCCTGCTCTCCGGTGCAGTGCCTTGAATACCAGCGAAGTAAGTGAC